CCACCGGATTAGCAAGCTGAAGTGGCAGTGGGCTGGCCATATTAGCCGCAGAACCGATAACCGTTGGGGTAAACGAGTTCTTGAGTGGAGACCGCATCTCGGCAAACGTAGTGTAGGGCGTCCTCAGGCGCGGTGGAGCGATGATTTGCACAAGATGAGCTGGATGCGAACAGCCGAAAGTCGAAGTAGATGGCGTGCAATTGTGGACGAATATGGGCTGATGATGATGATGTATCAGTCGCCACAAGTCGAATCACCTCTAACAGCGACTGTATTCATACTGTCGCTATTATCTCTATTAAACATATTTCAAAGTGGTGGAGTTTTATGCCCATAACCCTGATGTAGTTTATTAGCAGAGTTTACAATATAACTTCTTCTTTTATTATTAATGACTTGTCTGCGCGTTTCGCACAATTCTGCCAAAGTCAAGTGAATTAATTAATTTCTACATGTAATATGAAAATGAAATTCATGAAAGATGATGATATACCTATATTTTTCACAGAACAATCGATTTTTCTAGCTAAACCTTATTGTATAATTATAACATTAAAACAATGTATTGTAAAGCAATGGTGTTTACTTTTCAAAATCACGTTACTAACTATATGTCATACATGACAAAGAGCATAACTTCATAAATAACATAAATGACCATGAAGTATATATACAACATTACCCCTCACGGGGTTTAGAAACCGAATCTATCTGGGGGCCTGCGGTGCCGTTCAGAGCGGCGCTGCGCAAGACCTTGGTTTTGCACAGGTTGCAGACAGTCGGGATGCGAAACCTCCAGCCATGATGGACCAGGTTGTGGCGAAGAAGGACGATGTTGTTCTACTTCAGGGTCTCGGTCGCCTTCCCCTATCGCAATGACTGGGTTTCTCGTATAGTATGTGATATTCCGAGGATTGTGGTTAAGACTGTCGAGTTGACTTTGTAAATGTGTTAAAGGCACTTCCAGTGTTTCTAATCTAAGTCTCAATTGATCCGTGTGCTTACGTTTGAGACTGCCATCTGGCATCTTTACTATGTATGAATAAACCCCCGTCCGACATTCTATTATACCAGGATCTGATCCTTTGGCAGTAGGGCGATTCACCCATACTTTGTCTTTAGTTTTGTATTCCGTGGCTGCTAGTTGTCTAGATGATGGCTTTAGTTCCTGCGTGAGCCGCGCTTTTTCTAAATTTTCCTTAACATTTGGTTTTAATAGATCAAAAATTGTGCGCATCGGTCTCCCAAAAAGCATTTCGAATGGTGAACGGTTAGTAGAATTACGACGGGTGTTGCGGTATGTTTGTAAAAATTTGTGAAGTCGTTCAAATAAATCAGTATGTTTACTTGCTGCTGCCATGTGCTCTTTAAAAGTACGAACGGCACGCTCCGCTAACCCGTTTGTACGAGGGTGATATGGTGTCGTCTTTATGTGAGTAATTCCCATTTTTTTACAATAAACTTCAAAATCATCTGCTGTAAATTGTGGTCCGTTGTCTGATACAATATATCGAGGAGTACCGAAAGTCGAAAAAACTGCATTTAACTTTGAAACGGTGGCTTTGGCTGTAGTCGTTTTCATTGGGTGTATTTCGAGCCACTTTGTGTAGGCATCTATAATTATAAGCCAAGAAAAACCATAGATTGGACCCGCAAAGTCCACGTGGATCCTGTGCCATGGTTCGGGTGGTACTCCCCAAGAATATACTGGAGTGTTAGATGTATTTTGACGAGATTGTTGACATAGAGTGCACCGTTTGGAAAAATCAATTATATCGCTGTCGATTTTAGGCCAATAAACATGCAGACGTGCTAATGACTGCATGGCGTTTATTCCGTTGTGACCATCATGAAGCATTTCTAAAATGGGAAGTTGAAGTGTTTTCGGGATACACAATCTTCCGTTCCAGAGGACAATTCCGTCTTCGTACGATAGTTCATTTCTTTTTTCAAAGTAAGTGTGGAGTTCGCTATGCAATAAGCTTTTTGTGGGCCAGTGCGACGTTATATAGTTTTTTACTGTGTTTAAAATTTGATCTTTGAGGGTTTGTTTTCTAAGTGTTTGGCGAGTAACTGGAATATTGTTTAGACGAAGGTGAAGTAGGTGTGCAAATTGAGGTAAACCAGCACGTTCTTCAATCGTAGAATTAGTTTCAGGAAGAGGAAGCCGTGAAAGTGCATCTGCTGGTGTATTTTCTTTTGCAGTGTGGTACTTAATTGAGTAGTTGTAACTGTTTAAAATCATAGCCCACCGTAAAAGTCGGTTGCTGGCAACTTTTGGAGTTTCTCTATTTGGGCTGAAAATTCTTTCAAGCGGTTTGTGATCGCTAAGTAATGTAAATTTTCGTCCGTAGACGTAGTGATGGAACTTGGTAACACCATAAATGATGCCCAAAGCTTCTTTGTCGATAGTCGAGTAGCGTTGTTCAGTTTCTGTTAAAGTTCTTGATGCAAAAGCAATGGGTTTTAAGATATCATTATTTTTATGGAAAAGAACCGCACCTACACCTTTATCAGATGCATCGCTGCTCAAATACAAAGGAAGTTGTTCATCATAATGTGCCAGTGTATCTTTAGAAGTCAAAATTATCTTTAGATGGTTAAATATTTCGTTATCTTCTTGTGTCCAGTTCCATCTCTGTCCTTTTTTAAGGTATCTATAAAGTGGTGCACATCGTGCATGTAGATTGGGAATAAAACGACTATAATATGTTATAGAACCTAAAAATGATCTTAACTCTGAGGTATTCGTTGGTGTAGGCATCTTTTGTATTGCTTCAATCCGCTCATCAGTGGGGTGTAAACCGTCTTTGTCTATTTTATGCCCAAGGAAGATAAGACTATCCTCTAGCCATGAACATTTTGCAGTTTGGGTTTTGATACCCGCGTCTTGTAATCTTTGTAGTACTGCCCGTACTCGTTGTAGATGAACATCCAACGAACTAGCGGTAATTAAAATGTCATCTAAGTAACAGACTACGCCATCAAGACCATTCAGTATGTGATGCATAGTTCTTTGAAAAACTGCGGGTGCAAAAGATATTCCGAAAGGGAGGCGTTTATATCGAAAATATCCCTTGTGTGTTGAGATCGTTAGATACTTTCTAGATTCAGGATGAATTAATAATTGAAGGTATGCGTCCTTCAAGTCAATTTTTGTAAAATGTTGACCGCCTGCCAAATTTGCTGTTATTTCTTCAAATCTCGGTAACGGATAGTCATCTATTTGAACATAAGAGTTTATCGTTACCTTAAAATCCGCACAAATGCGAATGTTTCCATTTGACTTAATCGCCACGACGATCGGTGAAGCCCACTCTATAGAGGTTTCCATTGTGTCGACTGGCTCTATGATTCCTTCGTTAACCAGACGCTGAAGTTCGTTGTTCACCTGTTCGCGGAGTGCTAAAGGTACTGGTCGTGGGCGGAATGCTTTAGGTTGGACGTCATTTGAAATATGGATCTTTGCCTCGTGTCCTTTAATTGTGCCTAATTTTCCATCAAAAAGCTCTTTGAATTCGTCTAACAGTTTTTTGATTTCATATTTTATGTTAACAGTGTTATGTTGTTCATTTTGTTTTATGTTGCACAGTTTAGATCCAGTAGGCATTGGTACATCAAATTTTAGACACCAATCTAGACCAAAAAGTGGCATATCATCGTGCTCTGTCACGTAAGCTTCTGAAATTTGTGTGGAATTGAACGCTGTTACCAACATCTCACAAGTGCCAAGTGTCTTGATTTTTACGTCAGTGTATGCTACAAGTTGTTTACATTTTTTTAACTTCGGTGAACCTATTCGTTTCCATAGTGATTTTCCGATAACAGAGTGCACTGCACCAGGATCGTATAACATGTCTACGCTTATCTTGTTCAGTTTTGTTGGAATCATGACTTTGGTGACCATATATTTTGTAGAGTTCACAGGGAAAATATTGTCACTGTTTTGACTTAGTTCTTCAAGTTTATTATCATCTGTTACGTGTCTTGTTTTAAAATGTTCAATTTTGGCTTTCCCGGTTGTAATACAAACCTTGGCGAAATGATTTTCTTTTCCACAAGCTTTGCAGATTTGACCTCTAGCTGGACAATTATCCCTGCGATGGGGCCCTTGCCCACAGAACATGCATGTTTTGAAATTTGACTTTTGGTTAAATTTGTTGTTATATGCGGGTTTCTGATTTGGTTCCCTTTGAATAATTTTGTTTATCATTGGATCTGTGTTTAATTGATTATGTTGAGTTAGTCTCAGGCTTTGTACTAATGCTTGTTCTAGCTTCGTTGCAGTTCCGACTACATCTGTAAATTTTGCTGCGTTGTTGGGATGTTCTTTTATTAGCTCTTGTTGCCATTGAAGATTATTGATTCCAATCACAAATTGATCTCGGAGGCGCTCATCTAAATTGTTTCCGAATTCACAGTAACCAGCCAGTGACCGTAGCTGTAGTACATATTGTGAAACTGTTTCATTTTCTTTTCTGTATCGTGTTCCAAAATTTACTCGTTCCGATAAAACGTACGTCTTTTTACCAAAATATTCATTTAAAACGTTAACTAATTCTAAAAATGTTTTTGTTATTACATCGGTTGGCCTAAAATAGTCAACAAGTACCTTGAAGGCAGTTGGGCCGATTCTTGAAAGTAAAATGTTCTTACGTTTTTGTTCATTTTCATTTGACAATAAGCCATGTAAGGAGAGTTCAATGTTGAAACGTTGAATATAGTAATCCCACTCTTCTACATTAGGATTAAAATTGTCAAAACAAAATTTTTCGGTCGACATCCTCGTCGCCAAACAATATTGTATAATTATAACATTAAAACAATGTATTGTAAAGCAATGGTGTTTACTTTTCAAAATCACGTTACTAACTATATGTCATACATGACAAAGAGCATAACTTCATAAATAACATAAATGACCATGAAGTATATATACAACAAACCTCGAGGTCAACAATAAAACATCAATTATTATTAACATCCCTAAAGCAGCTGTCAGTTGGCTGCCAAATTGACAGTAGTTTTAGTCGTTTGCTTAGCGATTTTTATTGAAGACGAAATAAATTTATTACAGAGCTATAAAATTATCAACTCTCTTCACAACAGGAAACTGTAAAGTACTTACATAAAAAAACGAGACACGTTTTTATTTGTAACTAATACCTACTATGAAAATATAAACCCATTATAAAATGGAAGTGCAATTTGGTCCCAATTCCGTCGACGAACCGGTATGCAACAATTTCTTCCAATAAATAATAATTTATTTGTTTATGAATAGCATCTCAATAAAGTAATTGACTCGATTATGATCAGATTACGAAACTTTGAGAGTAATAAAGAGAATTGATAGATTAAAATAGAGGTTAATTTCTTTTTTCAGAATTTACTATACAAATTGCAAAGAAAACTAAAAGTTTTTAATACGTTGGATATATTACCCAATCGTGGCTACAATTTAACTACTAGTAGTAACAAATATGGCTTAGTGTTTGTTGCTTCACCTCTTGGAACCTTGTCTGGTAATATTTCATTTAATATCATTTAATATTTTGGTATATATAGGCTCTTATGTTTATTTTTAAATGTCGAAACTATACCTTTAAACTTGAAATGCCTAATGGTTTTACTTTTGATTGTGATTTGATTTTATGATGTTGCTTTTTATTTATTATATTACAATTATTAGAACAGAGACTAACTACTAATTATTGGACTCTTAAATTTCTACTCTACAGCATATTATCTAAAACAGTTGGTTGACAAAGAATCTGAATGTCCGCATGTGATTATCAAATTGCAAGAGAAACCAACACATATTGCAATAAATTGTGACCAAGAACTTATAGGAGTCACTGGTGGGCAGTTCCTATGTGTTTATAAAGTGACTGACTTTCAAAACCAGGTATATTTATTTTCTAATACCCAAACCACAATGGAATATTTAGAAGTATTTTATTTTAATTTTTATGGTAATGTTTTTGAAAAAAAACATGTTCAGGCTCAATTGTCAATTATATTTTTTAGAATGTAGCAGCATCTGCAGTATTACAATTAGGTACAAGATCAACAACATTTGTTTCATCTCTCCAATGGAATCCATGCATTACAGATTCTATAGCAATAGCATTCTTTAATGGAATTTTATTAACCTGCCAATTGAACACAAGTCAAGTTAAGAAGATTCAATCAAAATGCAGGTGAATTGTTTATTAAGCTTTTTCTTAATTTAATAAGTCAATAAGTGAATTGTAATATAATATATATATAGTATTGTCTCTCTCTCTCTCTCTGTAATAATGTTGGGCACCATAAAATGAATTTGCTAATTAATAACTAGCTATCGGCCTGTGGCTTAGCATGTAATTTTTTCAAACCTCTATTTGCCCTTTAATTTAACTGTATACCACCCATTGTATGAAATAGTATTCCTATATAAAACATCACTTACACTGATTGAGACAAGATTCCTAAGCGCATTTCGAATTTCTAAAATATTGTTCTTTATGATATATAAAAATATATCATTGTGAATTGATCAAATATAATAATTAATACTCTGATTGATCAGATGCCTCTGCTGGAGTCCGAAAGGTAAACAGTTTGTGACTGGCAACAGTGATGGGACTCTCACACAATACAAACCAGATCTAACACCAGCGAAGACAGTGTCCACGCCAAACTTATTTGAAAATGCACCTGTGGAAGCTTTAGCCATTTACTGGATATCAACTTATCAATTTGCGGTTGTCTACAAAAATGCTACAGATAACAGTCGTCCAGGTAAAACTTTATTTTTAATATATGATTTATTTTCATATTAAGAGCAATCACATTAATTAAATATGTAAAAGTTATGGTAAAATGTGTTAACAAAAAATTTTAGTTAAACTATGTATTGTCAATAAACTGTTAAACTATGATATTTAGAAACTAAATACAACAACTTTTTATATTTTTATTTTATAGATACACATGAAATATATCTAAAAAAAGTATGTTATTCATTTATTAAGTTTAAAATCTAAAAATAAATTAAGTTATCTAATTTTCCCACAAAAAGCCATCTTTTGTCATGGCGTCACTATGATTATTATTGGATTATGCATAAGTTTCAATTATCTAACTTCTGATATGAGTAAGAGGCGTGACTTCACATGCAGTAAGCGGTCACGTGACAATAGTGTAAAATATTTGCTTTTTCGTAATTAATATTGTTAAATATTACACATATAATAAGCATGAAAGTTGGTAAATACTATTATCGGTAATAGTATGTTAGACACTACCAGAATTTTTTTTTTTCTGGTAGTGTCTAACATACTATTACATATTCTGGTAGTGTCTAAAAAATTACCTTATGTATACTGTAACAAGACTCAGTATTATTTTTAATTCTCCATCAGAATTTATAAAAATCTCTTCTGCATGAATGAAGATGAATTTAAACAGAAATGAAAATCAAGTTCCACTTTAGTTGCTAAATATCATATTTTTATTGTAAATATGCGCCAAATAGTGGTTTCACCATATTTTATTACCTTTACCAAACTGGATATTTCATAAAACATAAAAATATTTCAAAAGCAGAAAACAGTTGTTTTTGCTTGTAAACTATACTCCATTTACTATGGCATTAGACAGAAGTTAAATAAGGTTCTTTCAGGGGTATACTTTTTAACAAAATATCAATTATTTTACTGTTAAATTTGATGCCTTTTTACTTACCAGCTGTCATATTTAGCTGTTGTCGTTTTAGTTAATGATAGAATATCTATTGAAATAAAAAGTATCGATCTTTATGAACTTAAAGAAACAGGGATGGATAGTTTCGTTACGTTTTTTATTTCACTATAACTCTAGCTATTTTAAAATGTTGCCTTATCCCTTCATATATTAGCATAATAAAACTTTTTAATTTTATCAAATTATGATATAATTGATTTTGTCAAAATAGGTAATCTGCGATTGTCATACATTGTTAATGCTACTTTTTTGTTGTTTTTACCGTTTTCCGCGATTAAGTTGTTAAAAGTTGTGTTGTGTTAGGTAAATAATCAAAACAAATTTTCTTATTCTTATTATAATTTTTATTTTATATAAAAGTTTATAGCTTTCGCGTTGATGGGTATTAACGCGATAGATTTCGATAGTTAGGTTTTTTACCTACCTATATTTCCCGACGTTTCGACCACGCTAAGGTTACTAATTTGATGGTCTAATATAAGGTTATTAATCAATAGTTTTGTCCTATTAATTCTGCATTTTTATTTAAGTAATACATTGTCCTAACGAAAATAATAGTAGAAATGCCTAATAATAAGATATGAGCTTGTGGTTCACTCTATGACTAAGTTGTTATTGAATCGAAAATATACAAAAAATGCCAGCCCCATCTTAACACCTGGGTGCGTAAAGAAGGGAAATTGCTAGGCTCTTACAGACTAGGTAGTCTGATATTGTTCAATAATAATATTGTTAGTTTTTGACAAAACTATAATATTTCTTTTTGTCTTGATTTTTTACACTCCTGCTTCTATGATTTTTTTTTTCTAAAGGAGTATAGATTAAAAATAAATGTTGAATTAAAGTTAGAGTGCTCTATTGAACACATTCTTCATAGAATTACTTTGACTTATAATAATTACTTATGGAGTTTTGTCTTTTAGTACTATACCGTGTTGTGTAGTCAAGGAAATATAAATACTTGAACCAAATATATTCGGCACCAAATCCGAATAATTTAGGCCAAATATTGAAAAAGATGCCGAATACCAAATACCAAACGAATATTCGGCCATCTCTATTTTAAAGTTTTCTGCAAGGCAACACCTGATTATATTAAGTAAAATACAGTCCCATCCAACTAATATCAAGCATGGTAAATCTTCATTTGCTCATAGCAGATTCATTTTGACAACAATGTTATGGTTTGAGAATATTAATTTCAATTTCAGTATAGCATTGCATACAAAATGCAGTATAGCATGCAAAATTTATCAAATATAATGAGTGTTGTTTAAATAATCATTATATCTGTTTCACTCATACTTTTTGAAAAACATGCGCTCGGATCACCCGGTTGCGCACTACTCGAATATGTCTGATTGCCCGATATTACTGTATTTTGACATAAAGCCTTCCGTTGGGCCAAATTAGTTATATCTTACGACATATTTCTTTTTCAGCTGTAACTATTATTAATACACCAAAGGGAGGTCAGCCATCTTGTTTGAACTATGAAGATATTTGCTACAGCATGGGTTCGAATAGGCCGTTTTATTACTACCTTCTGGGTTTAGCCCAATGGTAAGTGATTTTTTTTTATTATAAATTGTGCCTTCCTATCATACTGTCATCGATTTAGACCTTAACTATAATTACATTAAGGCTTAATAATATGTTGTAAAATATCACAATTTTAGATAATTAAATTTATACAGTTGATTTTGCAATCTTCCCTCAATACATTAAAGTTTTAAATTAAGTGGATTTTATCAGTTTTGTATAACCTGGCGTGCGGTTGACTGTATATAAGGAAGTTAAAAGTTTGGAAAGAGTAACAATATTTTCTTTTTTAGGAACATTATTCTTGCATCATCGTCAAATAGCATGGAGATTGCAACATTAGGATCCACAGATGGTGCCAATTGGATGCAGTGGTGTCAGGTATTATTTTATTACTTTACTATTATTACTTTATTTAAGTTATATATCACTATAATTGAGAAATAACCAAATTACACCAATCATATGATATGAATAATATTTATTGTGTGCATCTTTATAGACAGATGAAGCTAGACCTGAGCTCCCACTGACAGATAAGAAACAGGAAAATTATCCAGTTGGTATATGCATTGACACATGTGCAGTTCACCAGCTACCATGGGGTAAAATTTATATTTTTATACTTCTTCCCTCTTCTTCATCATTAAAGTACGATTTTCAATAATATATTGTTCATATTTAGTAGAATTTGTGTCCATTTTTTGCCAGCATTAGCATCCCATTTATTAACATTCATGGCCAGACGTCAACCGAACGAAATGAGTTATAAAAAGAATAACCTCACTTGATCCAATTTGCTATATACCTATGTACTCTATTATTAGTGAAATGAAATTGTCGATGAACCTGTTCCGAAAAACTTAAGAACATAGAGGTATAAAAAAAGGATTTATAATTGATAAATCGTAATTTATGGTGCAGAAACACCAAGCTCTCGGCCTTCTTCGGCAAGAGTTCGTTGCATATGTATTCATAGGTTGCTTGCTTCCAAAATATTCGTTCGCTATACTACCAGACCACTGAGAAACACTCTGACTAAATAAAAACAATGAAATGGTAATGCGAATAATTTGGCCGAATATCCGATTCAGTTTACCTTAAACAGAATAGTTTTCGGTGAAATCACTATTCGACGTATCTCTAATTTTTATAAAGAACATCATTGTTTCTTGCAGGTGAAAACGAAACTCTTCCTCCGATGCCAGTCCTGCTAGTTGTATCGCAGACTGGCTTACTTACTATATTCAATATCATAAATCTGAATAAGCAAGTAGCTCAAGTTTGCACGCCGCCTCAGCAATTAGCATTACCAACACAAGCTATGACCACAGATATACCTGATAATGTACCTACTGTTCTCCCTCAAACTGTGCCTCAAGTCGTTGCACCTCAAGCCGTCGCACCTCAAGCCGTCGCACCTCAAGCCGTCGCACCTCAAGCCGTCACACCTCAAGCCGTCGCACCTCAAGCTGTCGCACCTCAAGCTGTCGCACCTCAAACTGTCACCCCTCAAGCTATTGCACCTCAAGCTGTTGCACCTCAATATGTTGCGTCTCAGTCAGTCGCTCCTCAAGTTATACCGTCGGCTGCCCAAAAAGTAAGTACACACATTGTAGCAAAAAATAAAGGAGTCGAATAATAACTCTGTTTTGACCGGACATGGCACTAGTTAGTCGTGATAATTGTCATGACTTCGAATTTGAATATTTTATTCGTTTGTACTGTCTACAGCACGTCAATTATTATCTGTAAAAATTTCTACATTTGATTTTAAAGCTTTAAGCTTTTAAGACATGGAGAGTAGAGTTGAAATTATATTGTGAAAATTTTAAATATTGTAGTTACCTGACGTGTTGTTGTGTGTACTTTGACCAAGACACATTTTTATACTGTCCTCTATAAGACTGCTTGCTACAAGTTCAAATTGTAAAATTTTAAAAATGTTCAATGTATTTTACAAAAATAAAAATTCTAAAATTTCTGATCAACAAAGATTCTGGCGTTTTAATATTTTTCCATGAACAATAATGAATTTAACCAGAAATTATGAATTTAACCTTTATGAAGTATATAATTAATTTCCTTTATTTTTAAAGCCCGTTGCTACAATGCCACCATTCCAACCTACACCGCAATTATCCCAAGGAGTGCCAATTTCTGCACCAGCTTTCAGCGCAGCATCTCTAACTGCTGCTAAACCACCAAACTTCCAACCACTATTACCACAAGGTATAAAATATTATTTTTAATAGGGTATATGGTAAATGTTGTCAAAGCAAGACATTTCAACCAAATACCTACTACTTAAGTAGTTGTTATTTATGAATGTCAAAAATATTTTAATTAAAATACCAACATGTTATCTTGTTAAAGAATAAGATTAATACATGTGGGTAGTTAGTTTACTTGGCACTTTTCTGTCTTGACATTGTGCAGGCTACATAGCTTAATAAATGGAATTACTTAATTTCGTGTTTTAATGGACATAATAGTAGTAATCATTAATTAATTGAAATAGGTTTCTTTCTTGTTTTCGTGATATTTTTCTGAAAAAAGTTTTTTAATTACTAAAATTCGTAATGTTTATTTCATATATCAATATAATTTTCGAATGGTTATCACCGCTATGCTATATACAATTACTTTTGTTATAATAGGCACTCCACAAGTTGAACAAAAACAGCCACCGGAAATCAAACCTGTGCCGCAAGGTCAACCTCAGGCGGTAGTTACGGTAATATTACATTTTGTTTCTAGCATTTATTATTATTTTTGAAGTATTAATTGTCAATATTAATATGACAGGTAATGCAGAAAAAATACGTCACTTTTTAGTTTTGAAGATTTGAATATGCAAATATTCGACTGAAGCTTTCATGAAACACTTATAGATCTTTACTCAGATTTACACCAATCCTTACTCAAAACTCAAATCGATTTTTTTTTAATTTTTATTGTAACCTCTGGAATGTCATCTATATGTGTTTTTTTTTTGTTATTCAGTTACTATGTAATATGTCTTTAATAAAAAAAAATTACTAAATCCATCGATCTAATCTATTTTATAACAAATAATTATTTTTGTACCAGGTTCAAAAACCTTCAACACCATCAGAACCAGCGCAGCCGACACCACAAATGCAAGAAGCGTATGCTGCCATGAAGGCAGAACAAGAACGGATCAAAGCAACAAAAACTAACCAAGAACTTAAAAATATGCTTATCAAGGAGGTGAATGATTTCCAAATGGAACTTTACAAGTTTATGGTCAAGACTAAACAAACGCAAGCCAAGGTATTTCATTTTGGGATCTAAAAATATTGTATATTTGAAGTTAGATTTTTTTTTTTAAAGTTAGAATAGGGAACTCGCTACGTCGCAACCATGTAGAAAATTTACAAAGGTGTGACGTCATGCAACATTTTAAATCGATTTATCGCTGTAATTTAATGAATACGTATTTAATATACTTCAATGCTGAGTTTTTTCAAACTACACAATGGGTTTTAATGCATTCATCATCATCATCAGCCCTTTTACGTCCCCACTGCAGGGGCTCAGGCCTTCCTTATGGATGGTTAAGGAGGATGGGCCATGACCCTCCACGCTGGCCCAATGCGGATTGGAGGGTATTAACGACTGCAAACGCAGCCGGGACCAACGGCTTAACGTGCCTTCCGAAGCACGGAGTAGCTCGAGATAATAATTTTCCGGTCACCCATCCCGTGATCGACCCTTGCGAAAGTTGCTTAACGACTACGATCACGGGCCGCGGCGCTAATCCACTACGCCACCAAGCTACTCATATATTGATAATTAATGCATTAATTATCAATATATGTATATAGTGATACAAGAGGAAGGTTTATTTATTTAATATTGTATCATGAGGGCGAAGCCGCTGGCGGAAAGCTAATGTAATATGTATATATACATATTATTTTGTTTTAGATTCAACAAGACATAGACGCTCTTAACTCTAACATAAGTTTGCCCGTGGCAGACGCTGAGCAGCTAAAGAAAGATTGCTCATTGGAAGATTTACACGGTGCAATAGTACAATTGAAATTGGAATTAGTTCGTATGTGTGCTGTAGTGGCTGAAGCGAGAACGCATGCTGAGTAAGTTTTAAAGAGCTTTTTTTTGTTATATCCTTAATAATCTCCTAAACCAGTGAAGTGGTTTCTAGATTGTGACTTAGAATTTAAGTTAGCTAAACGAAAGTCATTTCTGTTGTTTTCTATCTTTAATTTGGTTTTGTTTTAACGTTATTCCATAATCATATATTCTAAGAAATACAATTACACTCATGTATACTATGATATAATAAATTATTATATTTCACAATATGGGCGTAGACAGTAAAGGGAAATACATACATTTTTTTTCTGGTATTGTTTGATATACTATTACAAATTCGCTTATTATATTTATACTCGTAATATTGCTAAAGGTAATTATGAAAAAATTAATATTTTATGATCGTTGTAAAATGACTGCAAACAGCACGTGATGTATCGCCCCTCTTACTTATATTAGAACTTAAGGGTATTATATCTTATGCATACATAGAACGATATAAGTTTTGGTCATAGCGATGTCATGACAGAAGTAACGGTTTCGTGGAAAATTTTGGAATTAAATTTTTTTTTTTTTAGATTTTAAATTATTATATGAATGACACTTTTAAAACATATTTCATGTATATCTATAAAATAAAAATAATAAAAAGTTATCTACGTAAAAAAAGTTATCTACATCCCTATTGAGAACGCCATTTGACAGGACTGAACCTGAATTTAGTCGAGTTATAGTCTAGTCTAAATATTATATTAATCAAAGCTATAGCTATTAAAACCAAAGAATTATGATATCTTGAAAATGAGATAGACATATCTAATACATTATTGGGAAATAATTTTAAATAAGTGCCATATAAAAAATTTGGTATCCACACAAACCAATCGTTGTAGACTTCTTTTTATTTCACGTTTTTTTTTATTAGGCCAGTTCTTATCATTCTATACACAATAGAATGATAAGAACTGGCCTAATAAAAAGAAAATATTTCAGAGCCAAGGATTTGCAGGAATGGACTCAAGCCGATCCACTTACTACGAAACGTGTAGCATCTGTGAAGAAATTGATTTACTATGTACAAAATCAAGTGGAGCAAGCTCAGAAAGCCCTTGATCATAAATGGAATGAGCATGCAGCTAAGGATCCAACACATAAGTTAGTGATTCTTTTTCTTTTACCGCTCTCCACTCAATAGCTGGACGTTATTTAGCTATCAATATTCTTTCGTTCTAGTTCTATCATCTATACATCTTACATTTTGTCACAAGTTAGTGATTTAATCTATACAGGGTTATTTATGTTATACCATATACTATTCTGACAAATTTCTTTACGTGATTTTAAACTTAAATGCTTTTGAACTTAGAGTTCATAACAGATTTTGCTAATTTGTAGTTATCTGGTTGCACTACTCGTTTGATAGAAATTTATTTGTTAATAACTTTCAATTTCTTTCAACTATACAAAATAACCGAATAAATAAACTAATTTTTCTTTTCGTATATATATGTGTGAAGTTCATTTTGGTCCTTCAAACCGGATATAGTAAATTTCCCTTTTGCAGACCCGGACAATATATGATTCGTCCGATACTAGACGATGTCTATCAACCATTGGTAAAACAACAAGAAATTTTATCTAGACAACAGGCTGTTTTAAAATCGCTCAAAAATGTACTCAAAGAGGTCGACGGCCCAGCCGTGCTTAAATCTGCTTCGCTGTTGAGAAACACGCCATTCAAAAATAAGTAAGTCTTTATGACATTAGCTACTTGACATAACATTTAATTATGAAATATAATGATAACTAACAGATATCTATATAAACAATAACGTGATAATGTTTGTTATTTTATAATAAATTGTTAGTATATTTTATTATTGCAAAATTAAATTGCGATTTATATAATACGTGGATTACAAGAACCGAAAGGTGCGGAAATGCAGATTGGAGGGTATAAGCGACAGTAAATGCAGCTGGGACCTACGGCTTAACGTGCCTTCTGAAGCACGGAGGAGTTCGTGATAATAAGTTTTTGACCCATCCCATGACTGGCACTTGCGAAAGTTGCTTAACAACAATGATCGCGGACCGCGGCGTTTATCTACTACGCAACCGAGATACTCCTTAAATTAATAAATAAAAATGTGTTTCCTTTATTTGAATAACACTTTTCAGAAAAAAAAATCTGATCACTTTAAAATAATAATACTACATTTTTAAATAATTTTCCGAAAACAATTGAGTTGCCATTAATAGTAATTATACTGTTAATAAACTTTATTAACTTTTATAATTTTTAACCCTAAATCAATATATTACAGAGACCCACTTTCTAAACTCACTAAAAACATTCTGAACATGAGCATAGAGCCTCAGAACAAACACAAAGAGCCGTTACTCAGCGCTCAAAAACTAGATGCACTTAGAGACATGTTATCCAATCATAAGACTGTGAAAGTGAAACCTGTAAACGTGGAACTGAGACAGCAGTTTGCAACAATGAGATTGAATTATGAGAAGAGCTTGAAAGAAAGGACAGCGCAAGCGGTCAACCAGCAAGTTAAAAAAGAACCGCTAATTCAAACTACCCAGCCTCCACAGCATATTCAACTACCCCCACAAGGTTAGTATATCTATACTGTATTATAATGAGAAAATGTTTGTTTGCTTTAATTAAACTCCGCCACTACTGGACTGATTTTAAAAATTCTTTGAACTACGGGAAGTGATATAGGCTAAATTTGTCGAGAGCGAAGTCGTGGGAAAACAGCTAGTACAAATATACAACCGCTTTTATTCCGAAGTTGGAACGATCTCTATCCGTTATATATTTATAGCACCAATTTTATTTCAATTTAAGGCGCGTACACCCAAGATCATTAAATTTCAACTGGTTTTTATACAAAAAATAACGTTTCATTAAGCCTCAATTCAAAATAAGAAATCTCCATCACATATGTAACGGTTATCCCACAACACAACGAGAATTTATAATATTTCTCTACAGAGAAAATCACTAAAGCTACCCCTAACATTCACCATTTTTTCCATTTCTTTTAACTTTTTTATAAAGGAAATAAAAAAGAAATGCCACTTAATTACGTAGAACTTTTTCAATAGTCAATTACGACTATTCTAAAAGAAAGTTACAGAACGATTTTAATCGCAAGCTATTGAGTTTGCGATGAAAACCGCGTTGTCGACAGCCTCTGTCCTCAATGATTGAACGCGGGCAGTTTTTATGTTATACGCCCTCACAAAATTCGGTTTCTATATTGATCCGACCAAGAATCCTAGACATCAATTTCAAGCATCGTCGCCTTGTCACTTTTTAATAATATTCATATATTTAAAAATTAAAATATAAATATTTATAATGATTTCTCTATACAGTAACACAACCCGCACCAATTGTAAAGATTGAATCAAAGCCAGATATCATCAAACAAACCCCTCTAAATATACCATCCTTTACTCCTATGGCCAATGATATCAAACCGACAATGCCTGGACTACAGAATGTTGCCAGAACTTTATTTGCCGATGGTATGTACTAATAAACTGTAGGTAGTCAAATTATAGTTTTTAGAATATTAGTATGATAAATTTTCATTTGAACCAATTTTTGTGAATAAAAAAGTAGTTTTTGTAAACTTAAAAATAAAGTGGGTGGATGGTACGTAGGTAAACACCACCCGCCTAATTAAACTAGCTTGAAATTTGAGAACATATTTTCATATTTTTTATGAAAAAGCTATATTTATATTCTTATTTTATTATTAAACCTATATTTGTAGAACCAAAACAAGAAACAGTGAAAGAAGACGCTCAACCAATACAATCTCGACCAGTTGCACAGACATTAACTCATAAACAGCCACTAGTAACCAAGCAACAACTACCAACTTCACAAGATCAACCGTCTACAATCTCTACAACTGTTGCATCAGCTCACACTAGGAGTGTCCTAAAAGTATTATTGCAAAATAAACAAGTCAATGCTAATGCAGCGACAAACGCAGTCGTCACAACTAAATCAGATACTAACACTTTCATGGGCCAGAAGATTTGTTCACCTACTGCTTTTTCTTGTAAGTATAATCTAGAAAATGTTTGTTTATATGATCTAGAAAATGAAAATCAACTCCATGTTAACTGATTTATTTCTATTGAAATACTATTATTGTTATTTAATTTTAAATACTTTCGAATATATGTTCCAGTTACAGCATCGACACCTGTAACATCTGCCTCTATTACTGCGAAACCAATAACAGATATAAGTACCATGTTTGGTAAATTCCAATCGCCATCTTTCACGATGGAATCCAAGCCGACAATCAGTGTAACCAAAAAATCATCCGAAACAGGAGAACTCGATCTTTCCGCTGTAAATCAACCAGATCTTAAAAAGGAAGACAAATCACTACCAAATATTTTCAGTGGCGAGTCATTCATGCCGTTGACTTCAAATAAACAACCTGCGCCTACAAAAGAAGTGCCTAAATCTGAAACTAAAGCACCGGTTAAAGTTATTTTGAAAGCTGAAGAAAAACTTAAAGAGAATATACCCGAAAAATCTAATGACAGTATGCTACAAGAATTAAAGAATCCACCAGTTGAAAAAATAGATGCTGAAACCAAATCAGGAAGTGACACTAATATTTCAAATGTGTTTGGTAGTGCTATTTCATCTGTTATTACTTCTCCAACTGTAATTATGTCTAGTGAGTAGTTTTTAATTAAATGTTAATAAGCAGTTTTAATAAGCGATTTTAATAAGTCATATGTAATGATTACTTATTATATTTTTTGTAATTATGACAGGTGAATCTCAAAAGCCTGCTGAAGAGACAACTGATATCAAACCCGAATCACCTGTAGGAACCACTGAAAAAACTGAAGTATCAACAGCATCTAGTGCCTCCTCTATTTTTGCTACAGCAAATGCTACTACAGAAGGTACGTAATGTTTCTTTTAGTTAATCATTAGAAGTTTCTCTCTAATTTGCTAATTGAAAATTGTTGTTTCAGTATCGAAGCCTCAAAGCGTATTTAGCTCAACAAAAGTTGCAACCACTCAAACCGGTTCTATATTTGGTACAGCACAATCCACACCGGCAACTACAACTACAGATAGTAAACAAAAATCTTTATTTGGAACTAGCACGGTGTCATCGTCTGCTTCGTCTATATTTGGAACAGCAACAGCTTCACAACCTACAACTACTACCCTATCGGGTTCTATATTCGGAACATCAAAATCATCGACAGCTACAAGCGTATTTGGTTCGAGTTCTACAGGGTCCCTTTTCGGCACCACAGCTGCAACACCAAGTTCTTTATTTGCTAGCACAACTGCTTCATCCAGTAGTGAAGCGAAACCATCGGCTTTTAGTACCGCATCAACAACCGCGGCACCAGCATTTGGATTAACGACAAGTCAATCCGTTTTTGCTACATCACCATCGTCTGTGTTTTCTAATGCATCAACACAACCCTCGATATTTGCTTCGCAAGCTACGGGTTCTATATTTGGGTCAGCGACCACTCAGTCTTCGGTATTTGGCACATCCTCAGCACCTACGAGTGTATTTGGCACTTCTACGACTCAAACATCCGTGTTCGGTTCACCTACTACTACTGCTTCAAGTATTTTCGGTACCGCGCCAAGCCAAGCGTCTGTTTTTGGCAGTTCAACTACTACAGCTCAGAGCGTATTTGGCGCAGCTACGACTACAACTCAAGCGTCAGTCTTTGCAACAAGTAAACCGTCAGTTTTTGGCGCACCTACATCTTCTAATCAAGGATCTATTTTCGGTGCGTCTTCTACTCAAGCATCTGTATTTGGAACCCCTACTCAAACAACTCAAACGTCTGTATTTGGCTCTCCTACACAAACAACACAAGCCTCTGTATTTGGAACTCCTACTCAGACAACTCAAGCGTCTGTTTTTGGAACTCCCACACAAATTACTCAGGCGTCTGTATTTGGAACTCCCACACAAACTACTCAGGCGTCTGTGTTTGGAACTCCCACACAAACAACTCAAGCATCTGTGTTTGGGACCCCCACGCAAACGACTCAAGCTTCCTTATTTGGAACCCCTCCAGCTACGACAGCCCAAAGCGGATCGCTGTTTGGAACAGCTGAAAGTAATTTGTTTGCTGCCGCCAGTATTTCTACTACCAGTTCGACTACTCAAAATAGTGGTGGAAGCATTTTCGGAAGGTAATTAAAGATGTTTACTGAATTTTCCTTCATGTGAAGTCCGTGACACTCGGACAATTTTTAAATACTATTAACTGTAGACTTTCATGTTCATATGATTTCTTCTTCTTGTGATAACTTCAAATATTTTAGTGAAACTCTGATTTCGGCAAGACTGTTAGTATTTTCATTAGAAATATAAATAAAACAACTTAATAAATCATATCATAGAACGGATCAATGATTCATTTTATAAAGCTATGTTACAATATTAAAAGAAAATTAAATTAAAAGAAGGTGAAATATGCCGACTGATTAATCCATCTAATTAAAATCTGAGTATTAGTGATTTTCTCAGTTAATTCTCTTCAGTGATAACTTATTTAGCATTTCTATCCTCGAGAATTTCAATATTTGATGCTAGTTGTAATAGATAATCATCATCATCAGCCCTTATACATCCCCACTGCAGGGGCTCAGGCCTTCCTTGTGGATGGTTAAGGAGGATGGCCATCTTACGCTGGCCCAATGTGGATTGAAGGGTATTAACGACTACAAATGCAGCCGTGACCAACGGCTTAACTGGCCTTCCGAAGCACGGAATAGCTCGAGATATTTTTTTTGTCACCCATCCCGTGCGAAGGTTGCTTAACAGTAACTATCGCGGGCCGCGGCGCTTATTACTACGCAACCGAGCTACTCATAGATAATATCATAAATAAATAAAATTATACCACAGTTCGTCGGGTTCAGTATTTGGGAGTGCCAGTGGGAACACGAACGTTTTTGGTGCTAAACCTTCGTTTGGGCAATCGAATCAATCTGCCGCCTCCATATTCGGCGGAGGCGCGGCGTTTGGTCAGAAACAAGCCAACAATTTCTGGTCAGCAGGCACTGCAACTGGAACCACGGGATTCGGATCAGGGTTTGGTAAGTCGATATAGAAAAACTGGGGGCTTATTGTCTAATTTCATTATCGCAATCTCCTTCAATTTGATATTTAAAAGATATTCACGAGCTTCACGTTACATTTATTTGACATATGATAGAGATAGTGATCACAATTTTTTGAATATTGAGTGCACGATATCGTTAATTTGCCGTTAATTGGAATTATCTAAGATGCAAATATTACATTAAGTTACTAAGAGTTAGTTGTATCAACTCAATTTACCAAACACTTTACAGACGTTTCAATGTACTGGTTAAGCAAATAATGATTTATCATTTGGAAATGGTTGAATCATAGCTTTAACTGTAAACTAACCGTCTAAGATTCGCTGGTTAAAGTAATTTTACTATGCTAAGAAAAAAGATGGTGCAACTCATTCCACACTCAATGTTAAAGTCAGCATGACAGATATTGTTAAATTTGACATATACCTTAATTTTAACTGCAATTATGGTGCAACTGAGATTTAATTATTATTGTTTCATGACCATTCAAATCATTATTCGGTCCTCAAGCGATTGCGAATTTAAACGTTATCTTATTCCATAAATTTCTATCATAATTACAATACCTTTGAAAATCATTGCGATAGACTTTGAAATGAGATAATTAGACCACTGGTTTACTGCAGTAATTACTAAAAACTGTCATCAATTACAAATAACGATATGTATAATCCATTAACTGCTATAAAGACTTTCACATTTGACCGTTTTATACTAAGCATCTTGTATAAAAAGTGAGATCTCACGATAATAATCGAAACCTTTTTTGTGTTTATAAAGGGGTTACACTTATGAACATCCTGTGGTACCCAGAGATAATACTGTATAGCACACAGCCGCATGTCACGTTACCACAACATGCAATTGATTCCAAACTCTTTAACGTCAATGTATTAAAGCTTAAAATTGAGTAAATAATTTTGTCAGTTTTGTGTAGCAATACGTGTTATATTTGTGGCGGAAGGAAATGATCGATTGTTTTCAATATACCTACATATTTTCATGATTTTTGTTTATAAATAAAAAATGTGTACTGATCAAAAACTTACCCTGTATACAATGTTAGGGCAACAGCCATCCACTCAAGCCTCTTCAATATTCGGCGGGACAACGGGTGGCAGTTTCAGTACCCCAACTCCTGGCGCGCAGCCGTTTGGAAGTCCTCAACAGGCTGCATTTGGAGGAGATAATAAACCCTCCGTATTCGGATCACCGCAGCAACAGACTGGTAATTATAAAAAAAAAAAACCGCCCAAGTGCGAGTCGTTCACGATGGGTTCTATAGCGAAAACGAGCAAAAAAATCACGTTTGTTGTGTTGGAGCCTCCTTAAATGTTTATTTTTTCCATTTCGTAGTATTTGTTGTTATAGTGGCAACAGAAATACATCTTCTGTGAAAATCTCAACTGTCTAATAACTATCACGATTCATGAAATACAGCCTGGTGACAGTCAGACAGCGAAGTCTTAGTAATAGGGTTCTCAATTTACCCTTTGGGTACGGAACTCTAAAAATACTGAACACATTAGTGCGCGTGTTGATTGATTTAAAATCTATCGCAATCCATTTCATCATCATCTAATCCAGCAATATTGTTGGCGTTTAACAAATAACCCTGTATATTATTTTAATTAGCTTTATTACGAGGGTCAAACTGAAAGTTCTTAGAAAATCAAAAACTGATTACATTAGCCAGTTATTAGTTTTATTATATCTTTTCAAAATATTGTCCATTCACGTCAATACACCGCTGCATGCGATGGAACCACTGGGAAAAGCACTTTGCCCACTCGTCCTTAGGGGTCTCTTCAATGGCATCGCGATACGCAGCCACCGCTTCTTCAGCATTCATAAACCGCTTTCCTTTAAGTTTTTCTTTAATTTTTGGAAATAAATAAAAATCACAAGGCGCGAGGTCGGGGCTATACGGCGGGTGACCCAGTAATTCAACGTTTGATGTCGCCAAATAGTCGATCGTTCGCTTGGCGGTGTGCGACGAGACGTTGTCGTGGTGAAGGAGGATCCTACTGCGAGGTCGTTTCTCTCGAACTTTTTCCAAGACAAGTGGCAAACAATTGGTAGTGTACCATTCTGCAGAAACTGTTTTTTGATCCTCTAACACAATTGTTGCAAAATGACCTATCCTTCCAAAGAACGAGGCCACCATTTTTTTTCCCGCACTTCGATCTCTCTTCACTTTAGTTGGCAACTCCTCGAAAGGAAACACCCACTGAGCAGATTGTCTTTTGGTTTTAGGATCATAACAGTAAATCCAGCTTTCGTCACCTGTTAGTATGTCGAACACAGCATTTGAGTCACCTCCGTTAAATCTTTCAATCATTTTACGACACCAATCCACACGATGGAGTTTTTGAGCCTCAGTCAAATTATGAGGTATCCACCGGGCGCAAAGCTTCCTGACCGCTAAATGTTCGTGGAGGATTTTGTGCACTTGACTCATACCGATGCCTAAGCTTGTCCGAATCTGTTGATAGGTCACTCTTTTGTCAGTCTCTATCATACGCCGCACAACACAGATGTTATCTTCAGTCGTCGCCGTAGAAGGCCGTCCCTCACGTAAATCATCAGTGAGATTAGTGCGACCACGTTTAAACTCATTAAACCAGTTGTAAACAGTCGCACGAGATGGGGCTTCATCGTGAAAGGCCAATCGTAGTCTATCATAACTTTCTTGTTGACTTAAATGACATCGAAAGTCATAAAAAATCATTGCACGAAAATTTTCTCGTGTTAAATTCATGATGACGTGACACAGACAATTTTCAATTTGCCGCCAAATCGTAAAACAAATGACAAATGAATGAAATATATACTCAGTAATATTGGCAAAGAGTTATATTTTCAAATTTTAGAATTATTTTTTTATTATATTGTTTATAAGTGGCCAGTTCTAAGAACTTTCAGTTTGACCCTCGTATAATTAGAGAGAAAAAAATCGTATAACAAATTATGTGAGGTAACAAATGACAAGATGGCGTAAAAACGCCATCAATAAAGACTCTCATGAAAGAATGGAACTATGTTGTTTTAAACTTAAAAATGTACTGTAATAGCAACGTTTTTATACTTGTTCCAGCACCTGCTTTTGGAGGGTCTCCCGTGTTCGGTTCTAAACCTGCCTTTGGACAGCAATCAGGGTAAAGTAGTTTTATGATTTGTTACTTATCAAACAATAGTGTATACTATACTTTCAATTTATTTTAAAACAAAAAATACAATTTAAATACACTTATAATTATCAACAATTAGCTGATCCCACAGACGTTGTCCTGTCCTAATTATGAAATTTTGCAGCACGCATGCTGTAAATTCTATATCAAACGTCATAAGTTTACATTTAAAAAGTTTATAGTATCCATAACACTAAGGTTAGATTAGAAATAATTTTATATGGTAGTTAAATAATCTTAAATTTTTCACACAATTTTCCTATTTTTTCTTTCATTACAACCTTCTAATAATACGACATGACTTTACGCTGACAATATCGAAAGATATATCACTTTGCACATACGTTGCATTAAAACCATTTTAATATTCTCGTGATTAATTATTAAGACAATTAATTCTATTTGTATCACGTTACACAGAAAATAATAGATTTCTATGTTTGTAAGCAATAATACAACTTTAGCGTTGTACGAATTTTCCCATGCATTGTACGAATTAACTTGATGTCAATTCATATAACGTAACCTGTATCAAATGACACTTTATTATTAAGTAATAAATATACGTGATAATGATAATGATATAAATATTTTTATTTCATAAATTGATAATTTTGAATGATACATGTCAGCATGTATTTATGAAAACAAAAATATTCATCAAAATACGCCATTTCGTCATAGATGTACCATACAATCTGACAACTTAATAGACATATCAAAATGAAATATACAGTATTTTTTCTGATGAGGGCGCAACAATAATGTCTAATTTGACATACAGCAACTTATATTACTTTTTAAAGGATGCACATATTTAATTAATTTTATTAAATTGCCAACACATTAATGATTTTGTTTAAATTAATTATGAAAAAACAAATATTTTATACTTATTGTCACATGACTGCAAACAGCGCGTGACGTCACGCCCCTCTTACTCTTATCAGAACTTATAAATTAAACATTAAACATACATGGAACGTTATTATTTTTTGAAGGTGACGTCATAGCGACGCCATGACAGAAGTTGGCGTTTTTTTATTATTATAATATATATATGTATTGTATTTTTAGATTTTAACTTATATATCTTTAAATATATTTTTTAATCTATTTCATGTATATCTTAATAAAAATATTTTTTTTTAAATGTACACTCGAATTCAATATTGTCGTCTAATTTATAATTTTCAGTTTTGGATCGTCACCGTCAAGTGGTTTCGGTTCCTTCGGTGGTTTCAATAAAAGTCCCAGTGGTTTTGGGGGTCCCGCTACCTTCGGTGGTGGTGCGACTTTTGGCGGCACCACTACTCTTGGAAGCACATCCCCTACACTATTTGGGGGGAATTCTCCTGGTATACACAAAGATAGTTTTGTATTTCTATCATTACCTTCACAATCCAGAGGACTTACAAAAAAAGGCCATCGCAAACGGTCTTAATGCCTTCATCAAGGCCCGGATTTAGGGTGGGACAAGCACTTGCCCCGGGCGACCTCTAACACGAGGGACGTCATTATATAATACCTATTTACAGTTTTGGAAAGAATAAGCTCTACAAATGCCTTCATACACATTACAGGTTTCGATGAGACGGACATAAAGTATGAAATCCAGCTTCACAGAGTTTAGGGGGACGGGAGGTAGAAAAAGGGCGCCATACGAATGCCCGTATTTACATATAAGATGTAGAGAACAGCCCTGCGATTCTGTAACAATCCAGACCCGAATTCGAATTCACTCATGTGTCCGAATTCTAGTCATTTAGTAAAGAAATCCTATTGATTCCATTTTTTGTATAAAAATACTAAACAAAATTGATTGATTAAACGTGTCTTAGATATTTTAATCCTATATCATTTCGAAACTTATTTCACGAAACATTATTACAAATTCAAGTTTGAGCGGATGCCGCTTTTTGGAGTGAATTCGGACACCTGAGTGGATTCGAAATCGGATTTGAAGTTTTACAGAATCGCAGGGCTGAACTTATTCACTAGTGGGGATTTGTGTGTGTTAACGACTCCAAATACAGTCGATACCAATGGCTTAACATTCCTTCCGGAACATTCCTCTGTGGTGTGACCTTGAGATAATAATTTTTGGATACCCATTAACTTGCTTAATTTCCGCATCGTAACCCGAACGAAAGGAGGTTCAAAAAATAAAACGAAGGTGTCTATAATTTGAATATGATATTAAAATTAGTCCACTGCAAAAAAAAACCGTATAGGAAAACATGGTTGTTTAGTTAGTAGATATATTCGTTTATCCCAGAGATATCGAGAAAAAAATTAGATGCTTATAAAAATTGTTCTTTACAGGTTTCGGATCACCAACTCAATCGAATGCTACATTTGAAAGTTTAGCTACTCAAAACACATTGACATTTGGCAACTTAGCTCAGCAATCTGGTCAACAACCACAGGCTGCGCCCAGTTTCAATACGTTAGTACATATAAACTAAGAACAATTAAACTATCATAGTATTAGATGAAGCATTAATTTGCGTCACTACACATTTAACTAGACAATATTAACAGTAGTATGTTTGTGGAATACGGGATTGCTTCCAAGTATAATTGCCGTAAATCGTCACCCGCGTAACGTCACATGAAAATTATTTATTAACAATTGAAATATTTTTGAATAATCCCTAAGATATTTTTATAATTATTTAATAACATTTAGTTTCTTTATTTATTAGATGAATTTTTGAAAATGAATCAATTTATATGTAAGTAATGAGGTATATATATCGAAAATAAAAAAAAAACATATTTAATTAGAAATAACGCGATGACAAAAAAAAGTAATAATGAAATGACAGACATTAGATATATTTAATATTAATGAAATTATGTTTACTTATTGTGAAAATCATAATAGCAGTTGCTATTTTAATCAACCATAACAAATAACAAATTCACTATGTCCCTTGCACTCTGTTATTAGCTTCGAACCCACGACCTAATAGAACGGACGAATTTTTCAAGCACTTATTACTTTTTCGCTACTACAGAGCGTATTTTCAACTATGTTCAGGCAATCCACGCAAACAGCCGAAAGATATATATTGTTATAAATATTTTAAGCTTTCGATAATGATGAAAATTTGGGATCCCATCGCAGAGTACCAATGATAAAGCGGATTATTCACGCATTCATTTCCATTTAGAATATTTTCCTTATATAGCATTGGGACTGCAAAACTGATCAAATATAATAGGTAAAAACAAATCTTAACAATAAAAATCTAAAACAACAAAAAGGATGTGTGATCTCAACACAGACTCAATAAGTGTTTTCGTCAACCAGTGTTTATTTGTTAACGGTACTGATTTTTAAACGCAATTACGTCATCATAATGGCGGCCAGGCGCATTAGTAATTTGCGAAGATTATACCATATATTTTCAGAGTTTATTTACTGTGTTACTAACAGGACTACCTGGGACAAGTTAAAAAAATATAATCTCTTTTAAAAAATTAAGTGTATGAAGCTTCGAAACATGTTCGATTTGAATAGAATCATATTTCCATTATAACAGTATTTTAGCTACTATTTTTCTATACTTACCTATTCGTTAATTACTGATACGGAGTGCAGCGGCGCGATTCGTCTACGCATTACTAGATGGCGTTATGCGCCTGTTGAAACTACCTATCATATAGTTATGCGTCGGGTTGGCGAAAAAGGAACAGTCACTGGGGAAGAAAGGAACGTGTATTCCAACGCTGCTGCAAGCGCCATGATCACGGAGTAACTAAAGTTTTTCTTGTGGATCTGCCAATAACGGCATATATATATACCTTCTATAGTCCTTTTACTCACTGTATCTAATCGCAAAACTACACTTTTCTTTGATTTATCTTCTAAAGACGGAATCTACCTTCTATATCCCTTTTAAGTTCGATACCCGTACCACTGTTCACTATGTCACCACTAACTAGTACCTGTTCTCGACACACAACGCTCACTATATTCTAATCGTAAAACGACCCTTTTTTTATTTACCTTCTTAACAAGTACCACTGGATTCCAGACACTCGACAATTTAAACCCTCACGATTGAAATTCTCGTGTTTGGTTATTTCAATCGCTTCGCAATATCGGGAACACGAAAAATATAATTGCAATCCCGTATTTAACAATTATTCTAATGTTAATTACCATGAAAGTATAAAATAAATATTAACAGTCAGCATTAGGGTTAAGTACTTCAGAAAAATAATATCATAGAATTACTTGTGTACATATCTGAACGTCCGTGTCCGAAACTACTGCAACTAATTGGATGACCGAAAGACGACTCTTAGATTTCATTATCACTATTAAATGATTTAAGACTGTAATCCTATATCACCCGCGTATGATATAGCGCAGCGTAGGCGTGAAAAATAAAAAAAAATCGGTCTAATAAATATGGTTGCAATAGGGTCCAAACAAATATTTCCTCTTAATAATATAAGTATAGATTATATGTGATCTTATCTGTACGTGGGCACAGTTGCCATTCATCCATCATCAGTACTTGTATGTCAGGGGCTGGGGCCTTCCTTATGGATTGTTAAGGAGGATGGGCCTTGATGGCCACGCTAACCCTATGCGGATTGGAGGGTATTCACGACTGCAAATGCAGCCGGCATCAACGGCTTAACGTGCCTTCCGAAGAATGGAGTAGTTCGAGATAATTTTTGGTCACCCACCCCATGGCCGACCCTTGCGAAAGTTGCTTAACAACAACGATCGCGTGCCGCGGCGCTTATCCACTACGCCACCGTACAATCACCATCACTAACAATTAATCTGCACAGGTCTCCATCATTCACTGGTTGGCGAGGCTGATGACAGCATTTCAAGGAGCGAGCAGCGAATATGAAACAGAATCATTGAAATAAAAAGACAATTTGTAACACAAAATATTACGAGAGACCAAATTACTGCAATCAATTTTGAACCTAAATTTATTAAGGCTTAAAATCGGTTATAGAAATTCGATCATTTGTATTGTAAAGTGGTGTCTTCTGTTCTTGCTGAGTTGAAGTTCCTATTGATATGAGATTTCAGTAAATCCCACTGGTAATAAGATGTATTCATAATAAAAATGTAGTGCCATTAATAACTTCGTATTTTTTTATATTACTTATAACCAGGGTTTATAATAAATACCAAAATATCCGATAATTGATATTTATCTGATGTATTATATCAAGAATGTGAAAAGCTACGATTTTTAAGCTGCCAGTAACTTTATTTAATAATTGATCTTATAAAATTTTCAAAATATCTAGTTAGTAAGATTGCTATTTCGGGCCATATTATAGATTTCATTCAATATATATCCATTGATATTTATCAGCTAACCCTGCTTATAACTAAATGTATGACTACAACAATATCAAAGCGTGATTCGATAATGCACATTGTAGTACCTTATTTAATCACTTCGTATAAAATACTTGATCTGTCTTGCTATTAAATAATGACGAGTTATTGTATTCATAATTAATAAGATATGTAGCCCTGAATAATGGTATTGAAATATTAAAACCATAGATTATATGAATCCGATAAAAATGTAGAAACATTACGTGCTTAATACCAATGTTACAACAATGTTTATAATGAACATGCTATAATAGGGTATTTGACACTATTGAAAATAAGTTGCATGTTGTGGTAATTCTGTTAGATAATAATCTAACAAAGTTTTCTAATTCTTAGAATCTGCAGATAAAATATGTTTAGCTTTAGTAGAATAAAATAATAGAAAATGCAACATATTTAGTAATTGAATGAACGATGAAAACGCCCTGCAATCGGTTTTCGTCACAACCAATAACAGGTCCTGTTACCGGCGTGTGACGTCACACGTAAACAGGAATCTGTCATGTCAATAGTGTTATTAGAGTTATTATTACAATTTATAGCACATTTTTATAAACAAAACCACAGTAGATAAAATACAAAACATAAAATTTAACTTCAATTTCCCTTAATGTTTACTGGAATACTGTTTGTTTACTTCGTTAATAAATAATTGATAAATAATGTCGCTTTGACATATTTATAGGCGTGTGACATCACAAATACCACTCGATCAGCGCCATTACATAGAGCAGTGTTTTTGACTATTTAAAATTAAACAATTATTTTCACCGAATATAGAATAGTTTCCTATGAAATATTCCAATGTGTTGTGATACAAAATGTATCAAACAATTATTTAGAATAGTTTTCTGAGAAGTGTCAAATACCCTATTGCTCAAAATGAGTAATAAAATCATGTTTAAAATGTATGACACTGCTTTTTATTTTAGCATTATTATTTATAATCGCCGTATATTCGTTTGATATTCGGTATCTTTTTACTATTTCTGGACCTGAAAAGCATTAGGTCGGATGTGCAGAACCAGCTAAAATCACTTATCGCCATAACGTTGCTACACTCTTTTTTCTCTTTCCGGCAAATTAACTCTTGTATGTTTGTGCCTTTTTACTCATGAGCAACAGTCATGCATAAAGTCGGATCAGACGACTTTTTCAAATATTTTGATTGCATTTAGCTATTTCTGTTTTTATACAGTTATGCCTAAGATTCCCGACATCCGACCTAATGCTTTTCAGGTCCAGATTTGTATTTGGCCGTATTATTTGGTTTTGGTGCCGAATATATTCGGTTCGAATATTTAAATTTTCTCAACTACCAGACAAGATATAGAACTAAAAACTTCTTAAGTAAGAAATCCCTATGAATAATGTGTTCAATAATGCCTTTATAGCAATAAAACTATAAATCAACATTTGTTTTAAACCTGATTACGCAACAAAACAATATACCGCGACACACTATACCTATCTATACTCCGTTTATTTGAAGTGGCATAAGACGTAAATAAATATGGCGACTTGACAGTTCTATTGATGGGGCATAATATTATAAATTTCATTAATTGAACTATCTCATTCATGCCATTCAGTGACTGACTTTCCATAAAATTTGTTTTATATGAATATAACTATTCTCAGAGTAGTATAATATATAATGAAATGCGTGTTATAATATTGAAAAATCCGTATATTATCATGACAACTGAACAAGTTTACTTAATTAAATACTACATATTAATTTAAAGCGAGAGTTACGGAAAATTAATATTAACCTACCGATTGCATTTAGATGTTTGATCATTGCGAAAACTCCGTAAATAGTTCCGGTGCGTTGTTTGTTTACATCATTCGCCACTTTAGTTGGAATAAGGTATATGTCGACTGAGGCACAACAACCATTATTTTATTTAAAAAATCTTGATTTTTTTGTGGACTACATTTAAACGCGTTTATTTTACTCATGCTATTAATCCTTATCAAAATAAATTAAGTACAGTTTTTGTAGATAATATTTGTTCTTTTAATGATTAAAATAGGGTATTTGGTTTTGAAGATACGGCGATTTCTGCTGTACGGCCCATTGCAAAGTGGGCGTCACCAAGGCGGGGGTGCGCGTGCGGGAGGGGAGTTTAGATCTATGAGTATAGTACCAGCGGACCACGCGGGCGAAGCCGCTGGTCATAGATTAAATCTATTATCTCTCTATATATCTCGTAACATGAACACATAACTCCACGTTAATTATGTTTTCGTGGCAACGTAGGGGAAATGCGTCTCACGTCTCAAATCACGATTACCACATTTATATCTCTATAGTCTATTTTGAAATATACCATTAGGGTCATAATAATATAAAGCTAGAACATTCTATTGGAATAGTCAGAGCGGTAAAACACTTTGTGGTTGCATTTGAATTAATTTACTCCTCTTTGTGATACCGTAGTTCAGAATACTCCCAGAATGTCAAATTTTGTGTTTGTGGAACGGACCCGGCGAGCATCTTACCGGATCACGGGTCCTTGTACCCGATTATTGCTATTTAAAAAAATATATCACATACAGATCGAATTTCTACAATAGTGTATGTATAATGTAAGTGATGTGTTATTAAAGGACACAAAAAATAGGACTTGGACATGGAGCTCTTACTCCTTTAAAAAATTCTAAGTACAAAATTATGACCAAAGTTTTGTCTTCATTACTTATATATTATCTTTGTATTAGGTGTATAATAATATATTTTGGAAAATTTAAATGAAAATTCAATTGCAAAGAGGTATAAAGGTATTATTTATAACATCACATTGTACAAAGAAATCTTTTATGTCAGTTAATCAGCCCCCCTTACCCACAAACGCATTAGCGGCCGATCTTTTTGTACTCTTTGTTTGGGTACACTTGCGCTAGAGTCAGCTAGTGAACCAAGGGTGCTGAGCAGCTCAATTGCAATGTCGATTAGTTGCGATTGCGTTCGAGAGTAAGGGACAGGTCAATACCATATTAATTTTACCAGACCATGGAATAGTCAAACCTATTTTCTTAGTCACTTATTGCACACAGCAACTACCAAATGTCAAATTTCTGTAACTAATTTAGAACTTTACAATTAAACAGTAAATGTACACACCCAGCCCCCTTGAGTATTATGTAAGCCTTCCAAAATATTTGGCCCTAAAGCAAACATCTCTCAATTGTGGCCATTGTACAATAACAATATCTGCAAAAAACTGAAGTATTTTTCCAGTTAAAGACATAGTTCTTATACGGCAGATGCTTTCAATAAAAACTATTCTACAATCTATTATAAATAAACATCTTAATATGAAAGCAACTATGCAAATTGGTACACATGTACCAGGACCATTGCAAAAAATTACATTTGGCTTAAAATTAAAAATAAGTGGAACACAAAACAAGGTAGCGTAAATAGTACTGAAAATTGATGATAAAAATGACTGCAAAACGTTTCTACTGCGAGGTATTCTACCCAATGTATATTTTGTATTTACATTTGGTACAATCTGTTCAGTCTTATGAATTTTTACTTCACTACTGACATCATTTTCTGCCAGAATATATAAACGGGGTTGATATTTATCAAAGTTTAAATTTTTTACAAGTCTCAACAACTCTGTAGTGTGACCACCAGATCCTATACATAAAATTGTTCTCAATGATGAATTTTCACTCATTAATCTTGAGTCTGTTGTGGATATTTGGTAGATCAAGTATAAAGCTCTGACAATAATGACGAGTATAGGAGAAAATATTAGAAACGCAGTAAGATATGCACATGTTTCCATATTTTCAGAAAAATATGTAAAGTCCAATTAGAGCCGGCAGAAATAATCTGAAAAAAAATATTCATTATTCAACATCCTGATTTCTCCGAGAATCAATCACAAGCGTAAAATGATACGGGAATAATTGGACGTAGTTATACAAACCAGATTCAATCCACATAATGTCACTTTTGAGAAAAATGGATTTCTGTCTTTACATTTTATGTTATAAAGAAAAGAAAGTGTTTCTTGTTTTGATTTAAACTTTATTACAATATTGTAGACTGTTTCTTTTATTTATTTATCTATGGTTGATGTATGGTTGTATCCGTGGCTTAATGTGGAATAAAATGAGGAAGTATTTAAAAAATAAAAATTAGTTTCTAAAAATAAAACTAGATGTCACTAGCGATGTTTGGATCTTCTCTATGTTATTCATTCAAATTTTGTTTCTGACATAACAAAAGTAAATTGAGTATCGTAAATGAATGAATATGAATTGTTTTGTGTTTCTTATGATGTCTAACTTTCAAATTATTTTTATTTTATTTAAATCGTAAGTTTAAGTTATTTACTATATTACTTGTAAAGAAACGATGTTTGGTATTGATATAGGGTGCTCGTAACTGCAATTGACTCGATTCATCCGAATTCAGGTTTGGAATCAATAACAAAAAGCAGAGCGCTGCATTCAGCTCGTTTTTTTATGTGCCATAATTCCATATGTACCATTATGCATCCTCATGTCAAATATTATATTAATATAAATATCAAAATCAATTCAGTCTAGGCTGTTGCATAACATTTGTGGAAGTCGGAAAACTTTGCTAACGGTTCACAAAACTAAGGCGGAAGATCTTGAACTGAGAAGAACCGGCAAGAAACTCAGCAAGGACTGCTTTTTTTCTCCCTGTTTTATTTGACACAAAGAAGTCTTTTTGGAATGTGACTTAATTAGATTGTGAAGTCACTTTCCATTATAACATCAGTAATCCTACATACTCATTGACAAATCAATATACAATATTCATAATAAAACAAAATGGACAAAATTAAGTGGTCCAATGCAGACTTTCCCCGTGGTGAGGGACATTGCTGAATTTTAGTGAATATGTCCGTAGGGGATCTTATAACACGTGGAGCTCGTAACGCATTTCTCAGCGTCAAAAAAAAACTGATTTCTAAATTAGGTTGAGTAGGAAGTCAATCTATTATTGACAATATTATTGAAAGAACCAAAAAGCAAATATCCACCGTACGAATTACCATAACACCTGGCCTCGACATCCGCCGTCGACGTAAGTTCAGTAGCGATAGTATAATAATTGTACGTGTCTTTGTGATTTTGAAATTTAAAGTTTAAACCTTACTGTTCGTTTCGAACGAACGTTTCTTATTGATTACTGAATTTTTATAAATATGATTTAATTATGAATTTGATAACTGATCATAGTTTTTTAATTCTTAATTTCGAAAGGAAAACTTATTTGCATGTTATACTTTGCACAAACGTCATTCAAGCTATTTTGTACGAATACATATCGGGTAAGTATATAGATATTGAATGGATTTTATATTATAATTATCGTTATATGACCTTTGTTGCTGATTAATAAAGCCTATACATTCATTCACCACACATAAAAATATGATTGAGACTCGCTGTAGTTTTGTTGCTTTAACTTCAACAAACAACTAATAGCAGCAAAACTAACTTATCTAGTTATTATTATTTCCAGAACTTTTGTTAAATATTATAATGAAAATTTGAAAAGCCCAAAACTTTTTCGCCCAGATTGCGAAAGGTTATGGGTTCGAATCCCATCTCAGGGTGCCAGGGACGTTTATTATTTTAAAGAATATTAAAATATTATTTTTGATTTTTAAAAGTTTCAACGATCGTGGAAATTCCACTCTTAAAGGGTTGAAAGTTTACATGAAAGTCTATTATTTTTGATATTAGAGACGTCAAACTTTTTTAGACCACTGATTATTAATGGCAAAATAACCTCTATCTAACGGTCAAATAGAGGTTTTTAATTTCTTGCACAATATTACGTAAATTATATATAATTTAAAACTTCATCTCGCAATTAATAAAATAATAGAAAATCAACTTTCATTTTCAGTAGATATAAAAATATTAATTATAATTAAAGTATTAGATTTTCATTGTTATTCTTCATGTAGCAAGACACAGAACGACTTAAAAACTACTTCACTGAACACTGATCAATTTTGCATTCACAATGCTACACCGAAAAATATTCTTAATGAAAAATGTTTCAAAATCCTCTGATCGGGCATTTATAGGGCAAATAATGCCTGGGTTTTTTCATTATCTGCCCGCCGGGCCAAAACACTTTGCCCATCTTTATTTGTAACTTTATTTTATAGACAGACTGTACCTCAAACGGGAAATATTTTTTCCATTTTTATAGCAAAATTTGTGTAAAGAGGTTGAAGACGAAAATTTTTAATTTCAACTATACATATAAGGTACACTTTATATTTTTTGGTTTTGTCTCGTAAGCATTCCAGTTTAAAGCGAGTTCCTTGGTAAAAAGTCAGATCCATATAAAGTAAATCACACACAGTGGTCCATAGATAATACATAATACTGGTACAGTGGTCAGTCATAGATTAGTATTTTATATAGGGTTGTCAATATCAGATGTTTTGTAGGTGTTTTTTTTGGGTTGGAGTGGATTTATTTTAGCGAGCTCAAAAATGAGAAATATGAGTTAAATCGAGTGAATTAAATTTTTTACTGCCAAATTAAATAATAAGTGATATATGAAATTAATAATCATATTTTTGGCGCAGCGATATAATGACATTATAACAATGAAATTTCTTACTAGAATCGGATCCAGTGTTTTCCAGGGACTTTCAATTTTATTTGTTTTAGGATATTTACTAGGTATATTAAACTTGCATTTTAGCGACAAAAATGATTATTGTATCATGACGTATATGTTCGAATATCCCCAGTTTGTGGTAACTATATTACAGAACTAATTCATTCACATTTTTTTTTATATTTCAATCATTTATAAAACATTACCAATGTTATTTCAGCGAATATCAGTATCAGAAAATGTTGTATATCCACAATATGGTCTCTTTGCTTATAGTGAAGGAAGATATACAGAAAGAGCCAGAAAAATGTGGTATGTATTATCAAAATGATAATTTATTCCTGTTATGATGTTACACTTATTAAATCTAGGTTCTAACTTGTTATGATATGTTTTGCTTATTTAAATAAATGACTTATTTAACTTATTCTAAGGGATAGAAAATCTCAGTGTTGTTACAGAATTATTTTTAGTTATGACTTTACAATATGATGATTGCAATGACCTTTCTTTAGAGATAATGTTATGAAATAATTTCGAGGTTTTTCATTAGTTAATAATAAAGTTCCAATGATATGAAATATAATTTAAAACACCTCGGTATCAAAATAGTTTAACAGATTTATGCCCAGTTGTACAAACATCCATTAAAATTGTTATTAGTACAAGGTGACATACAGATATTCAAATATGGAACATTCATTAAATCTGATTGGACATTTTGTTCAATTTGCGGTCAGTTGCACAAACATTTATAAAGGTTTAATGACACTTTTAAGCTCTAATGAATGTCAAATTTGTACAGGTAATGCCGCTTTAAAGTAAAGACAATTTTAATGGATATTTGTGCAAGTGACTGTTTGTGTATAAATAATAATATACAATAAATAATTTCTTTGTTATAGGTTTGATGGAGTCCCAGTATTATATCTTCCAGGAAACTCTGGTAGCCATATGCAAGCACGGTCTTTAGCATCAGTCGCACTCAGGAAGGCACTTAACAAAAATTATGAATATCACTTTGACTTTTTTACAAGTACAGTCTATTTATATGATTTTCTTACCTTTATATATATATTTTTTTACATATCTAAATGTTAAAAAAATTTTTTATATATAAATGTTAAAAAGCTATATAGCATTTAAAAGGCCACAAACAATGGACCAATAAATGCATCTAAGTTCAGAAAATAGAGCCCTGTATTCTGCCTGAAAGCCTGTCATTTGTTGAATGAACCATAATTTAACAACTTATTTCTCTTTGCTTCAAAAGATATGTTTAGTCTAAAGATTTGATTACTTTTCAACAATGGGCGATAAAAGTTGAGCTCTCAAATCCTCTAGTGATAGATAAATAAGATAGATAAAAAATATTTTTACTAGTTCATATAGCGAAAAAGATAGTGGGCGAGTGATAATACGTCGCTCAGTGCGTTAGGCGACACGCTATCTTTCTCGCCCTAGCAAATATGTAGGTTCTGAAATAAGTACAGAAAAGGATATGGGGAATAGGGATGATGTCTGGGTAAATAAAAGAAATTCTATTTAGTCTGTCAGTGAGGCAATAGAAAAATATTAGACACATATTATTTTTTACTTCAACTCAGCAAGAATTGGCTTAGATAAAAGGCATTAAAATGGAGAAGTGGGGGCTCACTACGTCACAGTTTAGATTACAAAAATGACGTCATGTGATATTTTAACTTAATGTATCGCCGTAATTTAATGATGACCAGAAAAATAAAAAGTTTGTGTTTAATATTTTGCAATAATCTACCTGACAGATAAACAAAAAAAATATATATATATTAATATATTTGCATTCACCCAGATTGCGAAAGGTCGTGGGTTTGAGTTCTATCTCAGAGCGCTAGGAATAAAGTGGAGTTTTTAGCATTTTTCATTAAGAATATTTTTAATAAAGCATTGTGATAAAAAAATTGATCTAATATAATTAAAAAAAAAAATTGTCTTCATCCCAATTAGCGAAAGAAATAGTAGTAGAAGGCCCCTTAATCTTTAGCAATAGGAAATACTGTTATGGTTATAAGTATATAAACAGGTTATAAAGACTATAGATGTTTATAGGCTGTTTTTTTTTCAGTAAGTTACAATGAAGAATTATCTGGACTCTATGGTGGTGTACTTCAGAGTCAGACTAAGTTTGCAGCGGCTTGTATTTCAAAAATTCTAAGTTTATATAAAAGTAACAAATATACCAAAAGTGTTCCAACATCTGTGATTCTCATTGGTCATTCTATGGTCAGTTGATTTCTTTTTAGGTTTTTATTGACAAAATTGTATGGTGTGAAGAAATAAGAAATATAAATGGTAGTTAAGAGTATGTTAGCTACTATATGAAGTAAATTCAACCTCATTTCTACTGCAGCCAATATTGTTGATAAAAATGATTTTATTTTATAACCATTTTTATCAAGAATCCGAGTAAAACTAATGACACTATGTTTTTAAGGGTGGAGTAATTGCAAAGAGACTAATGGCGTATCCAAGCACTCTTGACAAAACTAATATAGCAATCGCCTTAGCTGCACCACTACAAGCTCCCGCTTTGAACACAGATTTAGCTATGAATGATTACTACAAACTTATGGAGTTTGAATGGGACTTGTATATAAACAATGATCCATTGACCAAAGATAGGAAGATGATGATTAGTTTTGGAAATGGTCCAAGGGATGTATTGATGCCAGCAGCTTTGACTTTCTCTAAAGACAGTTACATTAATGCTTTGGTAAGCATTTAAAATACTTATTATCGGGCGCGGGTAATGAGGATGTGAAACTGGTAACACGTAAAATATGCCTAAATCTACTACTAGAAAAAAAATCTTTTCTTATTTTTAATATTTTAGAATGTAGCCTTCTTTGCCGTGCCGTCATTTCCCATGTTTTTGGGGGTTGCCCTCCTAGTCTTCCTTCGTCGCTCTGTGTCATTTTCAGTTGCAGTGACATCTTCGCCGGGTCGATGTGTTCTAGTTTCCTTTCAGGTAGTCGGCGGTATACCTCGGCCGCGCTCAGGTTTTTCAAACTCAATGACAGATCTTGTTATATGCTCTCTTTCGTGCCACATAATGTAATTTAACGCACTTCGGATATGTGCATATCTGACTCTTATCTTTTTGTACTCCCAAGCACCTCTAAATTACTGTCACGTGGAGTTTTTGTTCTTAGAAATTGCGCATTGACTGGCATTGCCAGAATGTTGTAAAAATACATAAATAAACTTATCCTTAATATAGTAAAATATTGTAGTAATATATTCGTAGACCACTGCAGTGCCTGGGGTGTGGGTTTCAGCGGATCACGTCAGTATTGTTTGGTGCAAACAGCTAGTAATGGCAATCAATAGATTCCTGTTTGCCATTGTAGATCCAAAGACAGATCAAATAAGCGAAGATCAGCTGATATGGAAGTCGAAAGCTAGGCAATTTTTCCAGGTAATTATACTACTGTACATTTTAGAATTATTCAGAATAGCGATAGAATATTGACATTAAAACCCTACGTCTTGGATTATTTTATCGAAAGTGTCTCAAATTATTCATTAGTTAGTCAAAATCCTGTTATGTAAGTAATTATTCCTGTTGAAATCCATTGGATACCTATGAAGCTTTAAAAATATTCTTATTTTTCTCAGGCAAATAGATCAATGTTCTTGAACCCAAATATACCTCACAGAAATGTCACTATGCTCGCAGATGCCTTCTGGTATGAAGACAGCAGGAGAATCTATCAAATATCACGACCGGAAATTAATAGGTATTGCTATAAATAATGAGTTATTAGAAATATTAGTATATATTCAATTTATCTTAAAATATAGTTTTAATACATTAGAATATCAAATTTGCCTAATTATTTTGGGATTTTAATATCACCTGGTGTGCTGCTTACTGATTTATGTACAAAATTCACCACTATGTTTAATCATTTTACCGACTGTCGTCACTTTACGTGGCGCGGAGAGGGCTAGATATAATTCCGGCTTAAATTGTTTGAAAATAGACCACTGAATCAGAGTTTCAATCTGTTTCCGTACATCAAGAAAAAAAAAACTTAATTTGTTTTCATGCGATATGACGTCCGAGTCGATATCGGTGCCAAAGCATTTACGATCATAATGACTATTACAATTAGACTCTGCAATCGGAAGCACACTTAAACAAATAGTACCTATAGCACAGGTGCTCCGCCTCTTAGTCTACTATTTAAACAGTATTATCATTATAACCACGAATCGCACCCAAACACGCATATTGGCATTCTTCCAGAGATTTAAGGAAATGAGTTATTTTGATAACACAGTTACGTGTTTTGTAACGTCACTGTGATGCCGTCATTAGGATGAAATGTTTGCAATCGTCAAATACAGTACTTTGTCGCTATTCGCTAATCATTAATAATAAATATTATAACATATATTTTATTTGTATGAATCTTTATAAATTTAATTGTGTTTTTCGGCGTTTAAAAACTTAAAGAAAAGTAGATTTCACGTGGATATTGGTGGATCGCTCGATGGCGTGATACTTAAATCCTTTTGATAGGCTCTGCTTCGAAATTTATCAGTCTGTATATGTAAACATATGGCTGCATGTCAGGTTACCACAATATGTCAAATTTCTGCAATAGATTTGACCTCTACGTTTAACATGTTAAGGTTCAAAATCGAGTGGGGAAATTTGTCCGTTTTGTATCGTCTGACGTGCAGACTGTAATAGGGGAGCTATAATGTACATCGGTTGTATCTTACTGTAACTCAACAACGGTTTTATAATTACTATTATTATAAGTAAAGGTAGGTATATACACTTTTAAAAGTATTTAACTTTTAGCAATATAAAAAGAAGTAGTTCGCTGATTTAGCGGATAAGCGCCGCGGCCCGCGATCGTTGTTGCTAAGCAAGTTTGCCGTGCTTCGGAAGACACGTTAAGCCGTTCGTTCCGGCTGCATTTGTAGTCGTTAATACCCTCCAATCCGTATTGGGCCAGCGTAGTAGATCATGGCCCATCTTACCTTAAGTTTGTTTCAGAATGACATACCTGATGATAAGATTGGCTAACTTCCCACAAAATAGATTTGTGGCAATTGAAGCAGTCAATGTTGAGGATAAAGAATGGATATTTGGATGTAATGCAGTGCACGTATATGGCAGCCACAGATACTGGTAATTTTTATTATTCATATTTTTAAATCGAATCGTACAGTCAACGGCATGTCAGGTCGGTCACGGGATGGGTAACCAAAAAATAATTATCTCGAGCTGCTCCGTGCTTCGGAAGGCACGTTAAGCCGTTGGTCCCGGCTGCATTTGCACCCTCCAATCCGCATTGGGCCAGCGTGGAGGGTCATGGCCCATCCTCCTTAACCATCCATAAGGTAGGCCCGAGCCCCTGCAGTGGGGACGTAAAAGGGGCTGATGATGATGATGATGAATAACGTATCGTGGCATAAGTGAAGTGAGTTTTGAAATGACATAGGAATATCTGAGACACGTATAATCAATTTTGTTTTGTAGTTTCATACAAAAAAATTGAATCAATAGAATTTGTTCACTAAATATCGTGAGTTTGGACAAATGAGTGAATTTTGCATTCGGGTTTTGCAACCTCTGCAGTTTTGTAAAAATAAAGTAGGTAATCTAATATACCAAATCGGGTTTCTTAGTAAAAGTAACCAGACTTCTTATATTAGAGTTTTATTGCTTTAGATACTTAAGCGTAAAAAAATATCGTTCTGTAATAATAAAATAAAACTAATATGGAACTTACATTTAATATTAATTTCTACTATATTTTTTTATCGAAAAAAAGTTATTGAAAATTTTAAATTTTCTTTAGCAAATATGCGACGGCTCTCTCTGAGTTAAGTCGATGGTCAAGCGCAGCTACAAATTTCGGCAAAAGGAAGTTAGCTACTATACATCTTCATGATATTCAAGAGTTACACCCTGATTGGTCACATGTTATAGTAAAAGTATCACCGACTAGAAAACCGGTAATTAATCTTATACCCTATTAAAATAATATAACAATGAAAATGTTGTTACTCCTTGGTTTTAAAGCATAAACTAAAGAAAAATATTAGATCACTCTATCGTTAGAACTTTCTTGGTTGTTAACCAAAGATTAGGTAATCGTAGAATGGTGATGTAATACCACTTTTCTGATAATACTGTTTCTTATTTTTAGATAATTTTGAATGTTGATGTAAATGATCATGCATCGAGACAGATATATGTTGATTTACCATCCGATTTATCATTCGGAAAGACAATTATAAAACATGAAACGGAACCGAATAGTTTGTACTACGAGCTGTTACTTCCTGGTTTTACTGCAGTACACCAATCTTATTTACTGTATGTAGAACCAACGGGTGGATGTAAGGCGACCCAGTATCATGTTTCTGCGGAACTGCATGTGCCATGGGCTAAGAATTATGAATATAGTCATTTTTTTACGTAAGTAACGTTGAATATTAATTTGATTTTTAATGGTGTTCTGTGCAACAACAAACAACGAAATCATTATAAGAAGATCACTTGTGTTCGTCTATATGTATTAGTCTCAAGTCATTTGTATTTTATTTCATACACGAGGGCGATTATTGAAAAGGTTTTTTTATGAAAATCTCACATATTCTTTAATTTTAACATAAATAATTTTGTAGATAGGTGAAAATAAAATTCCCTATCTTCGACATAAATACAAAAAAAAAATTTATTTTGGTCATTTTATCTAATAAAAAGGTTTTGTTTACATTTACGTAATCTTTTTCATACGCCTCTCTCTTTCATGTCTACGAGATTCTTGTTGCGTCAGCTCTGTGCTATAATTGCAGTTAAGCATAAAAGGAGAGTCCATTGAGTATTATGTGATTATTACGAGGAATGTATTTCAGCCATTCGAAGGTATCGCCGATGAAATTACGCCTGTACATGAGTAATCCGAACGTTACATCTGGTGGGGAAGACCAGCCTGTAAAAGTAACGTTGCTCTTAGATCCACAATGTTCATTTACTATAAGGTAAGATATCTCGTTTGCAGCACCAGTTTTATTTTAATTAGTCACTCGCGTATTTTTTACAATTCTAAACAGAAGTATCGTTTTTCTAAATTCATTTACTTATGGCAAGAACAATATTTGCAAATTTCGATAAGTCAAGACTGAATAAAAATAAAACTCAAATTAATAAAAAAAAAAGTTAATTTTACACTTGGTGTCTACCGGTCCAATATTTATGGATTAAAGTAAGCTGATAATAAAACATTCAGGGACCTACATTATATAACACAGCTCTATGTTTAATCATTTATCTACGATAACGCTATCATATTCGTTATATTGAATTAGGAACACGATAGCAGCTATAATCAATTGTTACCGTAAGGCCACTAATAATTAAAAAAAAAAACGGCTGACCAAAATAGTCTTATTTATCTGGCATTGGAATAGATCGACCTGATTTTGTCAACATAATTATTTGGCATTCACGACAGTTTTCTCCCTTTATATGTTTATTGTCTGGTCTATATTGTTTCAAATCCTACCTTTGTAAAACCTGTGTTATGCAATAAACATATTGAATATGCTATTTCAATGTTTATATACTGGAAAAAAATAGTTCTTTACTATAAATAAAATTCACATTTTTTTCTCTCATTTTTTAACCTGCTCAAACCGAATTAAAAAAGATATATACCTATTTTATAAATAAATTACAGTTTAAGCATTCAGAGGTATTTGTGTGCTCTTCTACAATGAGCTCCCAAGCAATATACAACAATTTTGTTGTTCATCACAATCCATTTAAATTTACTATTAAAATGTTAATTAAAAAGCTTATTATAATGTATCTGACTATATGACAGATAAGAATGTTTGGACTTAAAATGGACAACAACTGTATAGGTGATTTCTTCTAAACTCTTATATCTTATAATGTTTTATAATGTATTGATCTGTTCATGACATGGTTTAAGTGAATGTTTTAACTCCCATTAGAGCTGGTGAGTTTTTTGCTCGTTCTTCTTAAATGAACTCCTGAACGAGTGGTAGGGGAAAATATTGGATTATTTAAAACTACTTTTAAGAAATCTACTTGTATAATTACTGTGACAGATTAAATGTTTGGCTTTTTTTAATTTAATAATAATTTTAATACACATTTTGTTATTAGTAGACTGATGTGAATAAAGCTACAGTCATTTAGAATAATCTGATCTTTAAAAATTTTTTTTTAGCATTTCTCCGAGTTGGTATCTACGTTTAGCTCAATTAGCTCGGAATTATACTACGGTACTTATACCGTATGTTGCGGCTATCGTCTTACTCGCAGCCAGAAGTAGTATTCTGTACTTGCGAGAACACGGAAAGTGTTTATCTATTCACAGCGCTTTAATGAGTGAAGGTGTGAAGCCTTATTATGCTTTGGTATTTTCGAGATTGGGTACTATGGTTTTCATGTGAGTTGTTTACAACTTTTTTCTTTTTATTGCTTAAATTACCATAATGTAAGGCCAATGAAACGAGATACAAAGCGTAAATAATAAAGCTTATTATTTTAGCTTTCTGTCGGCAGGTTGCCACACTAAGACAAGTATGTGGTAAATAGTATTTTGTAAACTACAATAGATATATATATATAAAATAATACATAATAATAATACTACTACCGATCGCTTTGGAGATCTCTGGGGGAGGCCTATGCCCAGCAGTAGGCGTTTCTTGGCTGAATTGATGATGATGATGATGAAACTACAATAATATATAATTGCTGCATATTTGAATGTAAGAAGGAAGGGACTTTATTTCCAAACACAAAATGTTCGAAAAAGTTTGTTTGCTGCCATCTACGCTAAGCTTTGCGTAATGTTCCCTATTACGTTAATTTGATATATTTTCATAACCAGCCCGCGTAGCATGACGAACTCGAGAGACTCGAGAAACAAGCGAAAACGAGATCGAGAGTGAAATATTACATGGGCACACCTCACTCTCGACCCGTTTTTCAAGCCCAGAGAAATGCGAAACGGAGAATGTTATTTTTTCTGTTAATTCCACCAGCGTAAGAGAATCGAATAATTTTATTTGTAAGAAACTGGCAAACATTTTTATGCAAAGCTCTAGTGAATTCGGGAGACTCAAGAGACGCTCGAGAACCAGGCCGAGAGTGAGATTTCTCGAGTCTCTCGAGTTAGTCATGCGACGGGGGCTGGTAGACCGATGCTATTTGTGTCACGGGAAGATAACCGCATCTTTTCGAAACGCAATTATTTTAAATGATACTATGAAAATTGAGGAGGGAAATACTTTTTTTTTCAGGTCAATGCCAGTACTGTCATTTCTTTTCGAGAATGCCAGTTGGAATAATCTGGAGCTTCGATATTTTACACAGTCATTATTAGTGTTGCCAATGTATATGACAGCGCTGGGTATATTGAACGTTGGTGTTGCCGCTTTACTGGCGGTTATGGTGTTCTCTTCACAGTTGGCCCATAGATTGTTGTTTAGGTAGTAATTTCAATAGTATTGTCTTATACTACTAATATTGTAAATGCGAAAATTTGTGAGGATGTATGAACGTTTGTTACTCTTTCACGCAAAAACTACTGAACGAATTTTGATGAAATTAGCTATACGGATTATCCTTGAGCTAGATTTCACATGTAAGACTACTTTTTATCCCACTAAACAGTTATAATTTTGCAAAGAAAATACGTATCTAATATTTTTCTATTATCTGATTTGGAAGGGTATCACTAGATGCTTTATTCTGAGATTTTGTGTTAAACAAAATTATTTCTTGGTACATTATAATATTTATGAGGGCAATACAAAATTTTAAAGATTTAATGCTTAAGCTTGAACCACTCAGAGGTACTGGGTACATAGGGTTTCAAGTAGTTTAACTGTTAAAATATTGTAAATAGTTGAACTACTACGATAAAGTATCATTTGTTCACCAGTGTGTGAATTAATCAGTGGGCTCCCTTTCAAAGGTATAGCGATAGTGATACTTATTTATGGAATTATGTAACGGTATAAACGTTACATAATCGTCGCTAGCGCTTTCGGAACGAATGATGATTTGAATGATCTAGAAATAATAAAAACTTAGTTAACCAAGATACATTTCTCATTTCTCGTAAGCCTTCAAAGTTGTATTCAAAAAATATTTGCGTCTAACGCTTGCCTTAGACTATTCCGATTAAGATCAAATTAGCGATATCATTCATACAATTATCATTCAAAAAATCGTCGCGATCGCATACGCTATCACATGTCAAATATTTGTAGCCCGAATTTCTTAAATATCTTTCAAATGTTAAATAGAAATAGGTTTTCAAAATAATACAATAAGGCCCCAGGTAATGAACGGATCGATCAATCGTTCTTCATTTTATTCATTCTTTCATCACTGTGCTACCAAAATGGCATGAGTTTTGTCGGAAATTTTCAGAATAGTATGGCGAGGCGGGCCTGCTCTAGCTGAGAAAGTCGCGTCAGGTTTGCAGAAGGTGCCTATGGTTGTTAGTGCGGCGTTAGTGTGCGCTGTGCCTTTATCTTGTGGTGCCGCGTCATTGGCTGCTGGCGCGGCTTTTTATGCTTTCATGGTAATATGTTATTATAATACTTTTAAGCATTCGTAGCGTAGTGGATAAGAACCGCGGCCCACGATTGAAGTTGTTAAGCAAGTTTAGCAATGACCGGTTGTAGATTGGGTGACCAATTTTTTTCTCTCGAACTCCTCCATCTTCGGGAGGCCGTTAGTACTGGGTGCCATTAATAGCCACCAATCCGCGCGTGGTCATTTTTCCTATTTGATTCGGTTCCATCATAGGGAGGGCCTGAGCCCAAATGGGGACATAGACTGGTGATTAATACTTGTAATATGTGGAAACAATGGAATGTCAAAATTCAAGCATCAAAAATGCCTAATCGTTACGATTTTCGTTAAAGATAGAATCATCATCATCATCATCACCAGCCCTTTTACGTCCCCACTGCAGGGGCTCAGGCTTTCCTTATGGATGGTTAAGGAGGATAGGCCATGACCCTCCACGCTGGCCCAATGCGGATTGGAGGGTATTAACGACTGCAAATACAGCCGGAACCAACGGCTTAACGTGCCTTCCGAAGTACGGAGTAGCTCGAGATAATAACTTTTGGTCACCCATCCCGTGACCGACCCTTGCGAAAGTTGCTTAACGACTACGATCGCGGGTCGCGGCGCTTATCCAGTATGCCACCGAGCTACTCAAAGATAGAATAGGACCAAGATATTAGTTAGATGTTTAATCGAAAAGAAGTCACTGCCAATGAACGATGAATAGAGAACGACTTTTTGTGTTCAGGCGTGATATGTAAAAGTGAAAGTAAAGTGAGCATTTGTCGTTTTGGCAACGTGGTGGATAACAGGAATCCGCATCATAATTTAACTTCCGATTTTCTCCCCCGCCTGTGTACAGTCATTTAAAAAAACCCATATAAACCCAGCCCATGACACTTTGGATAAAGAAGAAATGATTTATTTCGTTTAATGAAAACGTTTGTGTAGTAGACGATTTTATTTCACTGTACTTTTGGTAGAAAATGGGTTTTCAAAAGTGATTTCCATCTATCTACCCCATTCAGGGTGGATAGATGAACACGCGTTTCCGAGTATCCACCTTAGGGTGGCTGTTTCAGGGTGGATAAAGGGAATAAGCCGAAACTAATATCGTTCTATGTATGCGGTCACGTGACAATGAGGATAAAATACTTAATTTTTCATTGATAAGTTAAGCAATACTATAAATACAAGCATAAAAGTGTGATTATTGCTTATAGTATATCGAACAGTACCCAAAACAATATTATGTATTAATTATCGTTTACTGGCTACACCCGTATTGACGCAGTATTAGGTGTTTGTTTTCCTGAGTTAGTTTGAACCTTATGTGTATGCTCTTAATGATGGCTCAGTTGTAATTCCCTAGAAAACTTCATTTGCTTTATCGAACATTTTTAATAAATAGAAATTATGTATTGATATTTACAGATTTCGAAAATGTACGAGGAATATCTAGAAGATTACGTTTACAAATTGATGGCGAAGATTGCGTCCAAAGTCTGTCGTATGTTTAAGTCTAATAAAGATTTAAATAATGAATCTCAAATCAGCGTCAATTCGAATGAAGTGCAGAGTAATATCGATGTAGTTACATCAGAAAAAAATAACGATAAAAAAGATGAAGCCAAAGAAAATGCTGATAACACCGGTGGAAATAATGAAGATGGAAAAGAAATCGCTGATAACAATGAGGTTGTAGTAGCCCAATCTGATGAAAAAGCAGATGAGAAGGAAGAAAAAAATTGTAATGAAAAATCAAGAAGGAAAGGGAGTGGTGATAGTTCTACAGATGATGATTTGAATAACTTAAATTTTCATGTGATGATGTTCCTTTTGTGGATTTGTGTGACTTTGGTGAATTTGCCAGCACTGTTAACATGGGCAAGAAACTTTACGTGAGTTAATTTTCTCAATTTTTTTTGAGATGTTTATTTTTCAGTATAGCATTGTAAATACAAATTTTGTTGTAGAAGTGAATAATTTTTAGACTCAATTAGTTTTGAATTGTATGTTTTTTTCTGGGCAACCTAATTCTAAGAGATTGTGACAAAAATGTGCAAGAGCTTTCTAAAGCTTGATATTTTAGTACTGGAAGTATTAACGGCATATAATACTCAGTATCTAGTGCGGAGGTTAGGTGCTGGAACACCTGGTGGTGAGGGGCAATGTAAAGTATGAAAAATATTAACACTATAGTTGCTTAATAATAATTTAATTAAATCAAAATTTTAACTTTATTTATGCCCGCGAAAACGCTGCCTATCATATTCATGACGACACTGTGATATATACACAAACAGATGATAGAGTAGAAGATTAAAAAATGTCAATAAAACAAGAACAATCTAACAAGATCGATTAACGAATAAAAAGACATAAATAAGCCAAGAACAGCGCCATCTAGGAATTTGATTTATAATTAACGGGTATATCTTTATGACTAACCCGACAGTTGTCGTCACAATGACGTCACGTAATGTTGAGACGTGTTTCAAGTCACATGAGACACAGACAAAAAATCACGACTTATTTTAAGATAATGAGATCCATGCAATTTTAAGACTCAAAATCAGAATCTCTATGTTTATAACTATGTCAATTTTAGTTTTTGTGCAATTTCGTGACTTATTTTCACTACCGAAACTATCCTATTGTGAAACGCGGCGACTCAGCAAATCTTAGAAGTTGGTGTGAAAATGAGCTTGGAAAAAGAGTTCCGTAATTGTTAAAAGTTAATTTATTGGTAGTTATTAGTCTTATTATTAGAAGTTAGTTCATAAAAAATACACAGCCTTTCATTTAATTGAACAAACATATTCAGCAATCGGTATAAGTTTTTTTTTACGCCGCTGCCACCAGGTGTTTAAGCGTCTAACCTAGTTTCTAGTGATGTAGCCTTAGTATTTCAATATACTGAAATATCAAACTTTATAAATTTAGTTTTAAGTGAACATGGAAACTGCAAAGGATCCGAAACGTCATGAAAGCAAATACAAACATACTGAATTTTAAAGTTGTTTTTTAAAACATATTGATAAAGACTGTATTCCAGGTTCAGTATGGTTTTGAAACCAGATACATCGTACCACACTGGTATGATTATGTCTGCATGTTCAGCTTGTATATGGCAAATGGAAGGACCAAGGAAAAAATTGTAAGTTACTAACTTCATATGCTAAATTCTTGAGGATTAAATATATATTTTTTTTTTCTAAATTTACCTAAGCTAAAGATACATTCATTAATCTTGATCAAATTCCAACATCACTTTGTAATAATATGAAGTCAATTAAGCTCTAAATTAATTTTAAGTTTTTTTTTTCAGGAGGTTTTATGAACCTGTAGCAGCTTTAATTTTTACAATGTCAGTCTTTATACTGGCACTAGGTCCATTATCATTAACAATAGTTAATTATGGCATAACATTTATGTTTGCTGTTATTACTATTCAGCAATTGTGTGATAAAGAAGACATAATAGCATCTGAAGACATGAAAACAACCAAAGACAGCCAGGATGATGATGAAGGAGCAAACAATAGTAATAAGGAAAATAAAAATAGTGAAAATGAAAATAATAAAGCAGAAGGAAATTCTGATGAAAAAGAAGCCAAAGAACATGATAATGCCAGTGGTAAAACTGAAACTGAAAAAACAGATGATGACTGTGATGTGTGCAGTGAAAGTCGAATATATGGAGTATTTAAACGACTTCGAGACAAATTTAGCTTTACTGAAGATGAATGATTATTAAATGGTACTGTAGAGATTTCCTTTGTTGAATGAATTTAGATATAAATAAATTTTTTGTTGTAATTATTACAATGCAGTATTAATTTTTTTATGACTATGTTTTTCAATAATATTAAATTATAGGATATAATGTAGTAAAATTGAATTATGAAAACAGGATAATTATAAATTACAAATCTGGCACATGTTTATATTAATATTTTAAAGGGGAATGATTTGATATTTTTCTTTGCATCTAATAGTCTCCAAAACTACAGGACCGTTTTTTGAAAACATTTCACCTACTAGAAGCTATATCATGCACTGATGACATTGGTTATAATTAATGCAGATGAAGTCACTTGGAACCACCTAGTTTGTCAAGAATAAATTCTAATATATATTTGTTATAATAATGTTTCAGTAGTTATTTCTCTATTTTTGTTATTATCTGAAAGCACCTTATTGTCGTATAAACATTGGAGAAACATCTTTCTAGATTGTAAAATTAGGTTAATCTGAAAAGCTAATTCCTTATTGTGATATTCAGATTTGCTTGAAACTATTAAGCAATTAGGTAATAGGAACTGACTGGCAAATGAGAATTCATCTTAATCATCTGGGACTATGAATTGAACAATGTTTGATAAAGAGATGAAGACATTTAAAAGATTTGTCATACTCTTATGAAAATTGATTAAGCTCAAATTGTGGGTAATAGCATGGAATGGGAAGAGATTGAACAAACAATCAAGGATATTTATTGCAATTTTTAATAACTTAAATAAAAATTTCTGTTATCTTACAAACTAAGCTTTATTTTGAGATATAAGTGGATCTTCAAAAAATTATCTGCGATTACTTCTTTCCTTTCTTGCCTGTGGGTTTCTCATCGGAGTTTCTTGGATTTTGCCAGTTCAATGGGTTGCGACGATACATTGGCCATGGAGGAACAGTCAGTATTGCAGCAAGTATAAATCCAGCTCCTAAAATGTACACCGACTGCGAGAATTGCTGGACGATATAGCCCCAAACAAATCCAACTATACTGAAAAGTGTTATTATGGCTTTATACAATTTTTCTGCCTTAGCTTGACCAACATAATCAATATGTGTAGGTAGAGAAGTGAAGAAATCCATTTCTAATACGATAATTGATAAATTAACAGAAAACTGCTTTTTGGAAAAAAATATACTCTAATCACAAACTATTAGGGTATTCTAGTGCCTTGTTGTCACTTTTCCGAATTGACAGATCAGCACCGAGGAGGATTGCCATCACCAAATTCTAACAAATCGTAAATAAAGTTTTTAGATTGCCGTGAATATAACAGAATCTATACACATATAAGCAAATTATACCAGGCACGTTTTTTTAAATAAAGGGAAATGTTTAACACTTATCAGTTCAGTGAAGCAGTAACCAAAGAGGTATACAGCTCAGTGTTGGATATTCCATTCAGGAAAAGATACTTGTTTTATTATAGTAAATATTATTATAGTTTTTTAGGAACCGTAAGGTTGAAGGTTGGGTCCTACAGTGATGATGGAGACAACTGGCCAAGGAGACTAAAGGATAATTGTCTCCCTCCGAGCTAGGTGTTGTTAGCCCGGGGACCGCGGTCCAACCGATGTAAGTTGGATGTTCTATTTATGTTACTTGGTAAATGAAACTTATTCTGTGCGATGTAGGTTTCTTTGTTCTAAATGTCTTGTAGTTATTAATTTATGATGTTTGTATTGGTACAGCGCCATCTCGTTACTTGCTGTTGAAACTTTTTTGCAGTTTGTCTTGCTATCGATGGCTGTGACGATGCTAGCCTTCTCGCTATCGATTGTTGTGGCGATGTTAGTGCGATGAGTTAGTTGTCGCTATGTATCAGTCACCACAATTTTATAAATATGACATGCACAATAATAATATATCTTATTTTTAATTAAAATTGCTTAAAAAATGTACTTTGTGCCTGGTAGCTCAGTGGTTAGAGAAGTCGCCTGGATCGTAGTTTCGAATCCCATCTCAGAGTATCAGGAATGAAGTGGATATTTAAGCATTTTTCATTAAGAATATCTTTTAGTATAAGATTGTGACTGCAAAATTGATCTAATATAATAATACTTTTACACTGTATTATCTATTATTATTTATAAATAACGACGGGTAGTCCGAAGGGGCTATTACGAAGCCCAAATAGATCGTCCATATCAGGGGACTATCTTTAAAATAACATTGCAGGCGTGTGTACCAACGTGGATTTATTCCATTTTATCACTTTTCACATGAAAATATAACGAGATGAGCGTGATGTCGTCAGATGTCTTTACTTCTCGGCGTTTGCAAACAGAATGTGTGCCAAAATGGCGGCAACTTGGTTTTTATAAACGAACTGTCAAAGTCAGTGTCACCATTCTAATAAAATTAAAAGTATCGATGATCACGCTCTCTTTACAATCGAGTAATTAAGTAATCGAGTAACTAGCAATTAAAATAAAAGAAACTAAATCAAACGATCTTCGTAATGATGATGCGACATATACATATTTGTACAATTAGGTTTAATAATTGTTTTTTATATAACAGATGAGGGTATATCTCTTGTTAAGAAAAACAACAAATTGACATATAATTTAATCAATTCATAAGACAAACATCTATAAAATTACAAAATGCATAATACGGCAATTGTGATAGTAATGGCAACATTAGACGAAAATGCGAAGTGACACAACCACTTAATTTTACACGTCAGTCAGGTAGTTAATGTAACGTTCATAAATTCGACCGAAAATATCATACCCACTTATATAATAAAATATCATATCAAATCAATGTATTTGATTGATACGTTTTTTTAAAGGTCGCGTCTACCTACTATCAGTAACAATTTAATTAGTTTTTCATCTGGAGGCTAGGGAGATTCGTAATTTGTAAATAATGTTTGCTGATATTTCAGGTCTCAAAACTCGTGTTAGTTGTGAAACTTTAATTTATAAAAGTTTTTTATACTTTGACTCATAAATCTGGAAATCAAAAATTCAATTTCTAAACGAATATTGTAATAAGTTTCTTTTTATTTTTTCATATAGTAAAACGAAGAGCATAGCCCATACAGCTTTTTTTTAAGAAATGTATATTCTTATTTATTTTTGTTTCACAAAATCAAAAACATTATAAAGTTTTTTAACAAACAAAATCAACTTAAACTTTAATGATATATTATCGGAAAAACTTATGAATTTTTCCGAGGAACAAGTATTCCATGGTATATTTGGTAAAATTGAGGTCATTGTTTTTAATTTCTAGTAACACTGGTTTATTCGTATCCGTCAGTCGATTGTCAACATTCAGTACGATCAGACTCATTAGGTTAATTTTAGTTACAAAGATTATTAGTTTTATTTTATAAAGTACAATCTACAAAATTAATTAACAAAATGACTACGTTTAAGCAAGTTCCTCTCACGTGTGGTGGCCATACTAGACCAGTCGTACACTTGGATTTTAGTGACGTTACAAAAGATGGATATTATTTGATTTCTGCCTGCAAAGGTAAGCTTACGAAAATCTTTAAGCTTAGCTTGCCCTTTCGCCTTGGCCCAGATGTAAGTGGAAGACCTGCAAGTGTATTTGGGTATATTTGTTTGGATTTCATGTGACAGATGTTAGGCGAAGCTTTGAAAGGCCTTCACTTTTTATTTTTCTTTTGGTTTTGCTTCACCGGCATGCATTCAATGCATGCTATGACCTTCTCTTTCCGGACATGCAGGAAGAACCTTGATTATCCGCTCGTAAGTTTCCTCGCGGCGGCTGCTCGCCTTGGTAAACATATCGTGGTTTTTGTTCACGTTGTTGCGACATGATATACGAGTTCCGTGCTTTTGTGTGCGTACAAAATTGTACTAGCTTCGAAAGATAGTTCCTGTGTTGGAAGTTGACATTTCACCCATTCTGGGTCACCTTGTGTTCCTTTTCAAGGTTTGTTATAGTATCACTTGACATTAATGTACAGAATGTAGTAGGTAGCTTTCCTAAAACTAACAATAAATTGTACCTTGTTATTATGGAGGTAAACTGTTTTGTTTTTATAGTGATTTCAAAAGACTTTCTCTTTTAAGAAGTTATATTCTAAATCAGTAACTTTTTTACTAATGTAAAGGTATATAAAAAGAAAATAACATTCCTATTGGATTTTTGGATACACAAAAATGGTTTTTGTTATTTTTCTTTATATCAATCTTGTATAGTTCTGTCAGTGTTTAAATAACTTTTTTATTTATTTTTAAAGTTTAATTATTGCTTTTTATTTTATTAAAGTATATGAATATACATACAGTATATAACCATTAACAGTATATAACTCGACAGTATATGGTATATAACCAGGTTAACCAATACTGACATTTTGAAATTGATGCATTAAAGTTTATATTTGTTGTTACCTCATTGTTGTATGTCTGTTTGGTTAAGGGTTTAAAGGGGTTTATTTTATATGTATAGATCACACCATTATACTCATTAACTATAAATTTTTGTTTTTAATCAACAGCACATCACATTATCATATTTTTTATTATTGATTTTAAACCTTAATGCATTTTTAGCACAGTTCAAAATTAACTGTGGCAACGCCAAATATTGTGGTAACATGACATGCTAACATGTAGTGCTTTGGGGTAATGACAAAAGGAGGGAAATTCTAGAAATGAAATTACACAAGCACTATGTTTGTTCTATCCAATTAAAAGCTTTTTTATCTATTAAAAGTTTATTTGTCAACTTTATCAACAGTTGATAAAAACATGCCTGATTTTGTGGTAATTTATATTTTTCATAATTTCCATGTTTTAATTATCACCCCAAAGTACCTTCTACACAAATGTAGTATTAAAAAGATATAAAAGTAAAATAAAATATGCATTATAATAAATACTTATGTGAATAAAATAAAAAAGCAGGTAGTTAAAATAGCTTTTGTTTATGGTGTTTTTATTGGCTTGTTATGTAGATGGTAAGCCTATGTTGCGGCAGGGTGAGACAGGAGACTGGATTGGTACATTTGAGGGTCATAAAGGTGCAGTGTGGGGGGTAGCGCTGACACAAAATGCAAACTTAGCTGCTAGCGGAGCAGCTGACTTCTCAGGTATTCATAGTTATATTTTATTTACACAATTTATAAAAAAGTAATAAACTAATTTAACTATCATTTTTATTTCAATTAAGTATTACATAAATGAACTCTAAAGTTGTTATTTTTGATTATGTGGACCCACTTGGATGTCAATAATGTCTATATCCAGAAATAGTTTGGAAAAGTGTTTTTCCAGAAAATTCAACTTTTTTATTTTCTTTCATCAGCTAAATTATGGGATGCAAGATATGGAGATGTTGTGCATACGTTTGACCATGAACATATAGTGAAGAGTGTAAATTTCAATTCTGATGACACTATGCTACTCACTGCTAGCAATGAGAAACTTATCAGAGTGTTTGATCTCAACAAACCTGAAGCTGGACGTAAGTTTTTCATACTTAATAAACAGAATAAAGGTTATTCTATTAATTTCGACTAAAATTATAATTGCAGTTGGAATAATCACTCTTAAAAAGAAAAATTAAAAAACAGTTTTGTTATAAAAACAGTTTTTTGAAACTAGATTATAAATTTAAAAAGTTAAAACTCAAAGTATCTTGTAAATTATTTTCCATAAATTATTATTTTTTAGCAGAACTAACTTCAAACTACTATTGAAGTTGAACAGATGTTTTCTGTATGTTATAAATGATAACAGCTTGCGAATTCAATAACAGTTTTTTGAATAATTAAACAGGTTTTAAGATAAATGTAATTGATTGTTTTTTTTGAAATATTGAAATCAGTTTTGCTTTATTGAACACTGTAATATTAAAAATTCATATAGGACCACCTCAGGTACATTTAGTTGTATAAACATAGTTGTTTGAGAAAAAAAGAATTTTTAAAAATCTATCAACCATTCATAGACAAATTGGTGAACAAACAAAAAAAAAAACCCATAGAACCTACTTCTTTTCGATTTTGAAGTCAGTTGAAAATAGTCCATATCGAGTATCTTTACATCCTAAGCCATTGCTTTTGTGGCGTTCATCTTATACTCAAAGGTTTTATTTTCAAATATTATTACAAACAATATAATAATGGCCAGTTTCTGAATTGAGAAAAGTTCGAAATCTAAATTGACTATTTTCAAGCTTGATTTTCGTGTGAAACGTAAAAACTTAGCTTAAGTTTTACGTTTCACATGGCAAAAGTCCAAGTTTTTACTAAATTTGGAAACAAAATGCTGATTAAATTACATTTAAGTACAGTTAAATGTAATTTAATCAGCTTTTAAAAATATATATATTCTTACCCACTCAATTATTATCTCAAAATAATTGTGATTAGAACAATTATATTTACAAAAGATTAATGTTTTATTGAATACTGTAATATCTGTTTTTTCCTGTTTCAACATTAAAGATGATCCAATCTATATGCTTTAGTGTATTTCTTAAAGGAAAATACTGTTGCTAAACATGAATGACAATGCGAATGTATTAGGTATTAAGAAATCCAGGGTCGCCATTAGTCCCGAATTTTACGGTTTCAATGATATTGTCCTGCCTTCCGATTTCTTATCGATTTTGCGCGATGCAATCCGCATCCTAATAGTAAATTTTTTTTTTCTATGACACCGCTTTGAACTAAAGTCTGAGTAATTCTGATGACCGTTCGAATGTCACGAATTTAGTTTCTTTAAAGGTGGCAACCCTAAAGTAAACTGTTAAGGCAAAGACTTCCATGTAGGTATAAAAGAAGCTGTACTTACTAAAATTGTGACACAGTACAATGTACTGGTCTTCGTTAAGAGTAAGCGAGAGGGCAATAATAACATATTTCTTTATTATCTTTTCCTATTCTGTAGTATAAGCTGCCGACTTTGAAGAAAAGGTTAACTTACACTCGTATCTGTAGTCATAACTTAAGCAGATATTTTCATGAAATAAACAAGAATTTGGATGAAGTAAAATCTGTCTATTGTTAGAAAACTATTATTATTTGCTAATAACAGTTCTTACTTCATTTAAATTCTTGTTCATTAGTTAAAAATATTGGCTTAAATTATGACATTTTCTTTAGTTAAAGTAAGAGTGCCGCAACCCTAAATGTATAACACTCCGCCATCCTGTCATTGTTAGATAATTACTTACTTTGTATTGATTGATTGGCAGCCTTGGAGAAGTATAATGCACATACAAGCAGCATTAGGCATGCAGTGTTTCTCCACAATTCACGTATCGTCAGTTGCAGTGATGACCTCACAATGCGCGTATGGGACCGTAACAGTGGACAGGTTTGTTAACTTTATCTGTTAAAGAGATTTGCTGAAAGATATTGCCGGCATACTGTTTTAAAAATCTGAGCGGTACAAATCTAGTTAGAGTATGTTTCAATGTACTTAATAGACAGTTAAGTATCAATTATGACCCATAAAGAAGACATATTAGAGAAACGCTTTGTCTACACCAAAACATTACTTGGGTCAGGAGTATCGAGATATATGGGCGCACCTGAGAAATGTTAAATTTTGGTATAGTCAATGGTATTCGTCGTTCATTCGTCGTTATGCTACGTGTGGAACTAGAGGGTACAATATAATTGCCTCAAAGCAGATCTAGTAGTTTTATAGCTTTGAAAATCACTCTCTAAACTTTCACTGTGACCGTAAAACATAACCACTAATGTAACGTAACTTCGAGCATTGTTTTACCTTCCTGTGTCTTTGTCTATATATTGATATTGTGTCTTGATTTTCTATTAAAACATTATCATTATCTATTTTACGTCCCCACTGCAGGGGCTCAGGCCTTCCTTAAATATGGTTAAGGAGGATGGGTCATGACCCTCCACGGATTGGATTACGGATTAACGACTGCAAATGCAGGCGGCACCAACGGCTTAACGTGTCTTCCGAAGTACGGAATAGCTTGATATAATCATTTTTTGGTCACCCAACCCGTGACTCTTGCGAAAGTTGTTTAGCAACAACGATCGTGGGCCGCGGCGCTTCTGTTTCTGTTTCAACTGGTTTGGGATACAACCTTTTTTACATTTGTTTATTTGTTTCTCATATTTGATTTCAGGAGGTGCACAAAATTGAATTTCCAAGCATTCCAAATAGCTTAGAATTATCCAGAGATGGAGCCATATTAACTGTAGCTTATGGTAAGTAATATCTGATATATTGATGCCAATTCCATTGTACGCTATCTTGACTGCTTTTTTCTCAACTTTATTGCGTAGTAACTGGTAATCGAAGATATAATTATACTTCTGTGTATAATAAGTTTACTTCTAGTTAGTTATGGGTAGAAAAAAAATCGGTTTGACACTAGTCAAACTTAATTTAATCTTGTTTGCAATAGAATTACTAGCAATATAATAAGGTTTGGTTTCTAGTACATCAAATAAATTTTTGAAAAGAAAATATAGCCTTTCCCAATAATATGTTTGAGCGCATTGTTAGGCATCCTGTGAGTGACATCATTTCGGACGCTAATTGTCTTTGATTGAGGAAAATAATGCTATGCCTCTTATAAAAATATTCAATGTTTCGCAATAAGCTGTTCATTTACATTACAATAGTAATAATGTTATGAGTTTAGGTTTTTTATAGATTAGAGAATAATAATCAAACATATCAATCATCACAAACGGGTACTCTACTCTGATGAAATAATACTTGTAATGTCCATTTTAATTTAAAAAGCCATAAAACAAGTATTTAAAAAAGATAAATATGTTTTCTTGCCTTAAAATTAAATCAAAATTTAAACTTTTTTTATACCCACGAAAACGTTATCCGTCACTTTCATGACATAATTCTGATACAAATAAAACAGATGCATAGATCAGAATTAAAACATGTCAATAAAACAAGAACAGCGCCATCTAAGAATTTGTTTTATAATTAATATGCAATTGACTAGTTTATGACTATTCCGACAGCTGTCGCCACAGTGACATCACACAATGGCGGGTCGTGTTTCATTTAGCTATTTAAGAAATAACGTTGTTAAGAATATTGCTAATCATTATTTTCAGGTACAAATGTGGCGTTTTACACGTCAGACTCTATGAGAAAAATGCGGGAATTCCCCGTACCCACAAAGTGTTTCTCTGCTTCCCTCGCGCCGAGCCGGGCGACGTTTGTCTGCGGCGGAGAGGACCTGAAGGTCTACAAGTTTGACTACAACACTGGCACTGAGCTAGGTTCGTTATAATTACATCTTAGATTTACGGTTAGATAGGAATAGTTTACTTGGTTAAAATGACCGTGTAAAATACTTGCTTGACCATGGATTTTCAATTTTCCAAAAAACAGTAAAGTGCATTTTATGGAAAGTAGCTTAAGTTATACCTTATTACATAAGCTATCTGATGGTGTACGTCTTTTCAAAATCGGTCCAGCCGTTTCAGAGATTAGCCGGGACATGGGACAAGCAGACAGACAAACAAAAAAAAAATTACATCTTTGTAAATGTTCCATGTACAGACACTCCAACTTTATTTATTTGTATAGATAACAATTTAAATGAATGAATAAAAAGCTTTATTGTACACACCATTAATAAATTAAAAAACATGATAATATAGCAGACAGTACAATACGGGACAAATTTTACTTGTAGACAACTTTTTAAATATTTTTGTTTTATAGATATACTAAATAAAATAGACCTTATTACAACTACGCCTAGATTGTGTTTTCAAAAGAAAAGACGGCTTTACGTCAACCTCCAACCAAGGAATAATCCAGACCTTTAAGCTCTATTACATAAGACGGACCTTCAAAATCATACTGGATAATATGGAATGTGATCCTGATATGAATGTTATGGAATGTTGGAAGAAATTTGACATAGCAAAATGCATCGTAAACATACAAGAATCATTGCAAGAACTGAAGCCACGCACATTGAAATCAGGCTGGAAAAAACTATGGCCGGTTCTGACTGCTGAAAATGAGGAAGAAATTAAAACTTTAACTGTAAACATTGCCGAAATTGCGAGTGGAATAGGACGAGATGGATTCGAACAAATAGAATCAAGTGATATTCAGGAGTTGCTCGAATCATAAGATGAAGATTTGACTGAAACCGACTTGGAGGAAATGTTAAATTCACAACCCATTGAAGAAGAGGCGTCAACAGGCACTGGTAACGTGACATTTAATCTGAAAAATCTTAGTGAAGGTTCAAATATATTTTAATGAAATATCTCCCTTATATTAATGAAAAATTAAAAACAAAATTCATGTACAAAATTTCCCGCTTAATGCAAACCTCACAGTCACAGCCTTCTAAAAATAACATCAACAAACATTGTTCTATGTATGTCAAAGTCAAATTTATGACATCCTTAGAGGACTGTGACGTCACACGCTGTTTGCAGTTGCATGATAACGAGTATAAAATAAGTGCTTTTTCATAATTCATATAAATAATATTATAAACAAAATAAGCATGGTGATTATCGGTAATAGTATATTAAATACTACTAGAAAAAAGTAATATTATTATGTATTTAGTTCCATTTATTATTTACACCGGTATTGGCATTTGTTGCTAAAAAGCAATTTCTTCCAGGCAATCTTGACATGACACGGAATACAATTGAAAAATTTGGTAGTCTATGGTGCTTTAATAATTTCCTATCATATGACTGGCGAAACAAATAAATTCTCTAAAGTACATTGACATACACATATAAATATTGATACATACATATATATTATTGTTGCATACATTATTTACATACATTATTGTTTTTAGAATCGAACAAAGGGCATTTCGGACCAGTTCACTGCGTGCGATGGTCTCCCGATGGTGAATTGTATGCGACCAGTTCAGAAGACGGAACAGTGAGACTGTGGCAAGGAGTGCCGGGCCGCGTGTACGGACTGTGGAGGCGTAGTAACGACCACCAGCCCATGGCCAACGGGTTCAAGGAAGTGGCCGCCGCTAACTGACCCGCGTCCCCCACTCGCCAGGTACGAATCCCTTAGTGTGACAGTATAGTAACGACTACCAGCCAATTACCAACGAGTTCAAAGAAATTGTTGCCGCCAATTGACCGGCGTCCTCCACTCGCCAGGTACGAATCCCTCATTGTGACAGTATAGTAAGACCACCAGCCCATGGCCAATAGTTCAAGGAAGTGGCCGTCGCTAACTGACCCGCGTCCCCCACTCGCCAAGTACGAATCCCTCAGTATGGCAGTATTGTAACGACCATCAGCTTATGGCTAATGGGTTCAAGGAAGTGGCCGTCGCTAACTGACCCGCGTCCCCCATTCGCCAGGTACGAATCTCTCATTGTGACAGTATAGTAAGACCACCAGCCCATGGCCAATAGTTCAAAGAAGTGGCCGTCGCTAACTGACCCGCGTCCTCCACTCGCCAAGTACGAATCCCTCAGTATGGCAGTATAGTAACGACCATCAGCCTATGGCTAATGGGTTCAAGGAACTGGCCGCCGCTAACTGACCCGCGTCCCCCACTTTCCAGGTACGAATTCCTCATTGTGACAGTATAGTAACGACCATCAGCCTATGGCTAATGGGTTCAAGGAAGTCGCCGCCGCTAACTGACCTCTATATGACACTCTCAAAACGAACTATGTATGTAACAATATTTTAAATTACCTATGGAAGTAATAAACTCATTATTGTAAACCAAAAACTTGCAAAGAGCCCTAAATTAGTCACATACTACATATTTTACTTTAAATCCGTTCATTTACCAAAGTAAGAGCAATATTTGCGTGGATTCCTGGAGCAAGCACTTTTTGAGAGATGCTGTTGTACAGTATATGTTCTGAGTGAACGCACATTATGCGCACTATGGTGCCGTCGAATTAAAAAACAACCTTAACACAAAAGAGCAAGAGCTATAATTTGTTTCAGAAAAATCTAAAATGTTAAATATCCGGCAGTCAAGTATTATTCTCAGAAATAAATATTGTTTATTTTGACATTTATATTTAACAAATAACTTTTTACAGGACAATGAAGAGTGTGAGTGCAATCCAAATTGATCAGTATCGGTTCACGTCTGCGGCGGTCACCGAATATGTGTATTTTGGACTTGAGAAGTTTAGCCTGTCAAAAATCGAGACTTTTATATCTAAACGTCGACAGTGTTTGTGTTGTTTTTTTTTTATTTAATTTTTTCGCAACACTAGTTTTTATACTCAAAAGCAATGTATTTATTGTAAAAAGGAACTAATAGACTTGATATGCAACAAAATAAAGTGATTTGTAAATATTGAAGTTTTCTATTTATATCTTTTACTTACCTTTGTGGTAGGTAAAGTAAGGTCAGGACACCTTTGACCGATTGCGAATTTTTGCTCATAACAACAACAATAATTAAGATTATTTTATATTGAAACACAATTTAATGCTTAAAAAAATAATTTTATTTGTCACTAGGTGAGATTTGTATTTTTACCATATAAAATATTATAACTAAAACTAAAAATTATGCCAATATTTTACAAAAATAATTTACAAAATCTAGAGTCAACTAGGCAGTGAAAACAAACTATAGAAGACATTAATTATAACAACATTTATTGTACATAATGGTAACACTGAGTAGATGTATGGATAATACTGTTGTCTATGGTAGAACAGTACGATTGGCGATATATTACACTTTTATTCCGTCTCATCAATTAAAGCTAAAGATGGCCATAAATGCTTAAAAACTTTACGAACAATCAGAGTATATTTTACTTACAAAATTACACAACCATTAAAAGTAATCCTTAAAAGAAATTAATTTAAATATATTTCTAAATTAAATTTCTTTTAATATTCATTGGTTGCCTCTATAAGGCAATATATTTATTTAAATAACACCAATAAGTATGTAAGTTGTTTACTTAATATACTATCTTAATGTTTAGTTTATATTTTATATATATAAAAATAAAGTCCTTTTCAATGCGCAAATCATGTGGACGGTATATTTTTGGTAACCAGTATTTATTATTACAAACTAAAAAAATACAATGGGAATGTTCGTTTAGGTTAGGAAAAAATCTTTACAATGTATTTTTAATGTAATCTTAAATAATAATATAATATTGATTAATTATTCGTGTTATTTGAATTTGATGACACATTTCGTATATGTTTCGCGCTTGGTCATGTATGCTGACATACCAAAAGCGAATCTTTATGATATGATAATACGTTTATTATATTTTGAGACGACCCAAGGGTCTATTTTGCGTCGTCTAATATAGACTAATTGTGATTATTCACTCACGTCATTAACCATTCATGTGAGTGCATGGTGTTGACTTGGTTCGAAAATTTGGTAGGTATAAGAATTTGAAGTTAAGGTCTGGGCACTTAAAGTCATTGGAACTGCAAGTCGAGCTCTAGGATCTTTCATTCAAGGTTAGAAACTTGAAGTCCAGATGTCCGAAGTAAACTCAAAACTCGCTACGAAACATCTTGAAATATAAATGTGTGATAACGCATCATATTCAGAAAAGTTTTCGTAAGTATAGTCTTCATTTGGAGTATAAGGTCTGGGAACTTGAAAAGGTAAGGATACTTGATATCGGGCACTGGGAACTTAAACACTTAATCAAATTCACTCTTGCGGAGTAAATTTTTACTTTGCACTTTGACACACAAATATGCCTTAGTCCGGATAAGGCATCTTTACATTTATAATTTACGTTCAGTATAGTTTTCATTTGGATTATTTCACATTGCTATTAAAGGATATCACTTTGACTTAATGTCTTAGTCCGGATAAGGCATCACCACATTTACAGTTTACGTACACAGTCATTATTTGGAGTATATCGCGTTCACTTATCTATAAAAGGCAGTAGATCTGGAAATTTAATTTGAAATCGGGGCACGTCTACAAATTTAAATTCAAATTCACCATCGCGTAGACCACTTTGTAACGTACATATGCCTTAGTTCGGATAAGACATCACATTTAAAATACCTAACTATAGTCTTTATTTGGAGTATGACGCGTTCACTTTGCTATAAAGGGCGATAGGTCTGGGAACTTGAAGTTGAGATGTGGTCGTCTGGGGGCCCTCGCTTGAGGCGCGGCGGCACCGCATTGGGCGGCGCACACGTCGTCGCGCGCGACCGCCTCGCGCGGCCACTCGCGCAGCAACTGAGCGCAGTCCGTGATGCGGAGGGATGCGCATTGTGCCTATACCATAACAGTTATATTAAAAAACAACGTTTAGCGTCAGAATCGAATTACCTTACCTTAATATTAGATCTTATACTCAAAAACAACACAAGGAAAATTGCCATGAACACAATCTGCTGACACTCGAGGAGCGTCATCTGGACATGAGTCTTATATGTGTTGCGAGAGCGCCTTGATTGCCCTGAGCTTCTGGAGCAATTTGCGTTGAGAGTGCACGCCGTGTACGTCGCACAAATTATGGCAAGAATGCGGTGATGTCACGAATTGTAGACAGTTATAATGGGTTATTTTATGAAATCGATCCTTTCATAGGTGGCAGAGTTAATTTCTTGGAAAAAAGTCAAGTCCAAAGTAATTTCTACTTCTTGGTTTAGTGAGAAATAATATTATTATAAAAGAATTCAATATCGATTCAAATTGTATCTGTATCTGCATCTGTGCATATACATATGTTTAACATCTACAAAGATTTATAATTTAATGCTTATAATGACATAATTGGTTGGGTTGTGAAAGTCTTATGTCTTAAGCTTACGGTTATTTTTTTATGTTTACAGTTAATAGTTTAATGTTATACAGTTTTGGATGTGGTTGCACACGCACATATTTTGCATTTAGGGTTGCCACCTGTCCTGATTTCTGAATATCATGAATTTTGTTCCTAAAAAGGTGATAACCCTGTTCGGATTCGTATAGTTTTTAATTCGCATGCAATTGCGACCCAAAAACAGTGGTAACAGCCACTCAAAAACAAATGTGAGTCGGGGTATAAACACCTGCTGAATTTGAAATTGCATTATTGCAACGATGTATACAATAATATATAACACCGTGATCAAGATTTTGTATTGTGTATAGTTCCATGTAGAGCATAGAAATGTGACGTCACAACTCTTAAGGTTTTAGGTATGCCCTTATGTGGAGCTGTCCTCGTTGCCAAGTTAGAGAGTTACTTGAAACTGAAAACTCAATCAACTAGAAATAAGATCAATAAGTAGAACTTACCCCTTCCACTGTGCATATACATGAGGTGCATGGTGATGGGAAAGCAGATTCTCCTACAGATACTGATCTGCCCGCTATAAGGCAGCCTTGTGCTGAACTCTCTCTCCAAGCAGATAGATCCAGTTTGGGTAACGACGCGCATGGCACTCGGGGATTTCTATGAAATATTTCAAATTCGTAGATATGATACAGTATTCATTACCGTTTCTTAAAGTTATGTACAACGAAGTGGTTTTTGAGTGAATTTTCTATTAACAATGGTGCCAATTTTTTGGACCACTCTGTAAACTAAATTATTACTTAGTCGAGAGAGAAATTTGATTTGGGTTTATTCTATAGTCATATATAATCAAAGAAATAATTATACTCCTGTATGCTAAAATATAATACTCGTAAGTTAAATTCTGTTGTCGTAAATATTTTTGCAATTATAACGTTTAACAAGAACAAATCTAAATATAGTATAGTCAGAATTGGTGCGATTGATATCCTAATAATTAGCCTAGAAATAGTTTAAAATAAAATATTCCATAACTTCTCTTCAAGATCAAAAACTTACAAGAAATTGCTGGGCAAGTCGAAGGCAGCCCGCTGTATGTCACCAGGAACGTCGAAGTTTTCACAGAGAATCTTCGAAAGAGTTGATTTTCGAATTTCAGCGAGCTGATGTTCGGTGAAGCGTGCTGCAGGATTGTCGTTTTCGTACCTACAATGTGATAAAGTAAAATAAATAAATATTAGACAATATCACATAAGTATATTTTTCGAATCCCATTTAGCTAAGGATTTGCATAACCTGTTGTAGAATAACTTAAGTACTTATCACCCAATAATAGAAAACGTCATTTATGGTAACTCAATACCTGGTTACCAAATGTGACGTTTTTGCCAATTATGCTGATAAATGAATGACTGAATAAAATATCTAATTCTCAGACCAGAGATGATATAAGAAATATTACTTCTCACGTTGATCTAATTGGCGGAAGATGAACTTTAAATTTCGCAGAATTTGACAAATGTGTTTATGGGCCACTTTAATCATGTGATGTTTTTTTTTGCATTTATTAAACCCCCTCCCCCTTGGTGATACATAAAGAGATTAAAACTCCGCGTTCCACCCGAATCACGTGTATTTTTAGTACTTACAAAAAAAATCTTAATTTTGACTCCTCTTTTCGGTTTAGTAATCGCGCGTTTGAGAACAAAATAAATACACGAGATATATTACTACACCCCCCTTCCCCGCTTGCGATATTTAGCGATTATTGACGAAACTCCCTCCCCTTTCGAGCCTCACGTGATTAATGGACGGCCCCTTATGGAAAATGACAATTAAAATGACTTACCAGAACCTATCGCATTTTCTTAATTGCCTGAACTGTATGGCGATGATGCAAGCAAATGTTGGTCCAACTAGACCTCCTTGCAAAGGTCTTTCGCTCATACCACCAGGGAATAGATCAATATCGTCAACTGTGGGGTATATCCTCTTCAACCTGTAAATATATTTAATTTTAAATATCTTTATACCTGTCTGAAGATTAATTTTCCCTTCCATATCTTTTCTCCCCTACATGTCGCGCTTTGTTTGTCGCTAGTATTCTTCCACGTTTGCTACACCTATTAGTTTTGTTATTTCAACATATGCTACCTTTTGTTTGTCAGCGTAATTAATTTGTGTTTCGTTTGCACTACCTGCTGATAATTTTAATGAATTTAAAAATTTCCGTACATTGATAGGTTGTCTGGCTGAAATCGCTATCAAGTGATGAGGCCGCCTATTGTACTGTGTAAGAATGTGTATTTGTCTCTTTTTCTATTGTGCAATAATGAATATTTATTTTTATTATTATTATGTTTATTCTAGAGTAAATTATTCATTTAAAGTTATTTTAGAATTTAAGATTCTTATATCTTAATTTAAAATTTTGCTATTTATTACTTTAGAAACCGTAATAGTTAATATACAACACTTGTCAAAGCATAAATAGCTACTTGCCAGTATTGTGAGATTGCAAATTCTACAAGATGGGAAATGGAAAACTAGTTTCA